TAATAAACATTTTTTGTGCTTGCCTAGGTCAACAACACATTTTATCGATTATTTTAACGATTAACAAAATCGATTATTTTAAGCCCGATCCATCTCTACTCTATGAATAAAAAACAGACGTCATTTCGGTACCTTCGGTCGATTGTTTGTTGTGGTGTTTGGATTTTCATTTTATCCCTCGCTTGTTTATTGGATCGACACGGACTTGAATTGCAATTATGCGCTGCATGAATTGCGATATAGCCACGCAAAGACTGCGGCGGCATTTCGCCTCTGCCTTCTCTTTTACTCAGTAATCTAGCACGATGGTTAACAATTGAGGTAAGTCATCTGCAACTTGAATAATTATTTAGCTAATCAATCTAAAACACCATGAGCATACGTTATTTTCAAGTTGGTTCTCAATATACATAACTTACCCACAGAAAAATAAGATTTCTTGCAATGTTACGACTAAAACAGACAAGCAATTTAAGATGTTATTTTATTCAATCAAAGCTTTAGGTAGGTATTAATAACTAATGTATTATGGTACTTAATTACACTTTGTTTTTTTTTTAGATTCCTAGGGATGCCAACATTTGACAATTTTGGTACTGAATGCAAGCAAATGATAATCAGGTTCAGGTCAGGTCAGAGTTTATTTGGCCTTACAATGATGTGCATAACTTGTGGTTGTTCTATGAAGTGTATAATGCCATGCAGTGGAAAGAACCAATTTGATGATGCAGGATTTACCTATGTCACATTCAGTTTTCCATCAGGTAATGAATATTAAAACAATAAATTGTTTAATTAAGGAATTCATTTATAGCAGGTACTCTCCGCAGTTACAGTCAAAACTTAGTCTTTATTAAATCTATATATTATCTCCTATACTGCTATAAATCTACTGCACTGATACTATAAAGCTGAAGTCTGTTTGTTCAGTTCTACTGGTCCGATGTGAAAAAATCTTTTACTGTTATATTTACTGAAGAAGTTAGGCTATTATGTATAATGATGCAGGTGAAACCACAGGTTACAGCTAGTTATAATATATCTTATATAAACAAAAATAACATAAAATACTATAATATTTGTAAAAAATTATCTAATTATACAGTTTCACAGTCATATAATCATTTCTTTTTCATAGCAAAGACAACATGCATGAAATATAAATTAACTTTTTTTAGGCCCCTAACTCTGTGTGTCATCCTTGTTGGATAATGCATCAAAGGCAGTCAAACTGGGATGAATCAATCAACCGTGCCTAGACCTGAACTTGTACCACAAGTTAAACGAGAACCTGGGCCACTAGCTGGATCTGAACCTGAAACAGCACCGGGACTTGTCTAGAGTCGGAAATAAACCTGCCAAACTATAAACTGTCTGCAAATACTTTAACGTCACTGTGTCTTAATGGTTGTATTAATGAACAACACCTTCATGTTGTTCCAGCATTTAAAAAAGAATGCTCGTTGGAACATAATATAATTTTTATATTCCCCGCAGTACAAGAGTGTGTGATGTACATTCAACTTGAATAAATAAATAGAAAAATCACTTTTTTGTTGTTTTACTTAATATTTTTTTGTCCTTGGTTACTCAGTGTGTCTATGAAGTAGATTAGGCATGGTATAACTGTTTACTTACCTGGCTCAACACAGAAATTATAAATATTTAGGTCTATGAATCTATAACTGCCCCAAGGATCGAGGTGGAAGCTAACAAGGTTTGCAACAGCAACAAACACCATGTTGATGATGACTCATCATCAACATAGTGTTGTCAAGCTTTCATCATTGATGAGCTAAGTTAATTAATATCTAAGATTTTTATATCAAATATATTCATCATTTTATCCAAAAATAATATTAACATTGTCTCATTTGGGTAAGTGGATTTTATAACACAAAAAATGTATTTTTGTGATTTTTATGGAGTGTTTAACCCTAAGTAGATATTTATTTCAAGTAATTTAGTATGAAATCGCAGCGTAAAAACCATTATCGCTTAAAATCATCGTAGACATACTAAAACGCCTACATAAAAGTTCATATCAAATGTCATCGTTCGAAGTTTTTGTTTCTTTGTTGTAGGCGTTACGCGATTTTATTTTCAGGATTGTGCAGATCTGAAAAGTTCCTGAGGTTTTATAATTACAAAATATTAATTTTCAGCTATTCAAGATTATATATTGCTAGGAGCCATGTTTATTCTTGCATTTTCATTGCCAGGGCAGTCGTCCATACTTCAATTTAGCCATGTCCTTTACTCAACAAGTTATGAATTTATTGTAAACTAACTCTTGCACGCGACTTAGTTCGCGTGGAATAGTGACTTCCTGGAGATTTTTGGTATAAAAACTATCCTATGTCCTTTCTCGAGTTCTAAAATATGTCTGCACCAAATTTTACAGAAATCGGTTCAGTACTTTAGGCGTGAAGAAAAGACAGACAAACAGAGAGAGTAACTTTCGCATTTATAATATTTATTGTAAATGTAAATTAAAACAAAAAAAAAAAATAGCAAGTGAAGCCAGGAGTATTACGACGCACATTTAAAATTACTAAACGAAGTCAAAAACGCTGTACGTGAGCAATACTGTTTCGAAATGACATTATTTAATAATGCTGATATGTCAAGTATGGGGATCATCAATTATATTATTAATGCACGTATTTATGAACCTGTGTGCAATTGACGTCACTATAATGTATACTTACGATAGTTATCAATAATTTTGCAAAATTTATATGAATTAAGTATGTACTTATGACAAAAAAGATTTTAGAATTTTCCTCCTATAGATTTGACGGGTGATAAGGTTTTTGTTGTATGCCTACAGTGATTAGCTATAGAATTTATTCCTCAGAGCAGATTTGCATGTAGTTCTTTCCATTCACGTGACCACAGGGTCCCGGTCATTTGGAAGGCGTACGAGTGGCCGGAGCCAACTGTGCAGAGGCCTTTTAGACAACTTCAATCTAAATTAAATGGGACACAAACCAGCGACTATCCCTGTGCGCACTAAGAAAATACACCCAAGGACAGTCCCCAGTTAGTGCAGGACTATTTGGATAATGGAAACAAGGGATAAGGCTATAGGTGTGGGTTGCTATGGACTGATATGTTGGGAACTATGGAAGGACTATGGCGCCTGCCGAAACAATGTAATAAATACACGTAAAATGGCAGGTGAAGAGTCACCATCTCACTTTTAATATTTTTTAAATAATAAGTTTAAAAATAAAGATTAAGTTAATTATTTTTGTACTTTTTATAGTTACATAAAATATGAGTACCTATGTTACAATGTTTTCAGACACCAATCGACATTTTCTTTTGTAGCACTATGTAAAACCTAATTGTGACCCTTTTGACTGTACGGTTGGCATGGTGGCTAGGCAACTGGCTGTCGCGGGTTTGATTCCCGCACGGAACAACTCTTTGCGAGATCCACAAATTGTTGTTCCGGGTCTATGTAAAATTGAATATTTTATAAACGCATACACGTGGGCTTTTTTGCTGACCTATGCCATAAAACAATACTAATTAAAATAAGATATGTATAAGTTCATATATCCTTAGTTATTATGCATTATGTCACATTTTATTGCCAGTATTATGTCACAAGGCTTTATTACATATAAATCTGTATCATATAGATACGATACATACCTATATATCCTATAGATATGATACGTTTCTTAGTAAAATGCATGTCTGAGTATACCGCCTTTAAACGCAGTTTCGGAACAAAATCGTTACTTAGTAATTGTTTAAGTAATCATTGACTGTCTCTGAGGATGGCAGATTAATAAAAAAAAAAAAAAAAAAATCTACTATTTAAGTAGGTTAAAATAATAGAACGTCACAAATTACATATAAAATAACATATGTTTATAAAATAACGTTGTACACCAGGTATTTTCAATAACAATATACAGCATACTCAATATTCATCATACAACGTTAAAAGTACCTACCCGCTTTTCATACATGAGGCTGTGGATTCGAAACCTGGCAAGCACCAATGTGACTTTTTCCGAGTTATATGTGCTTTCTATGATTATTTAGACACCACTGACATACGGTGAAGGTAAACATCGTGAGGAAACCTATTATCTTATAGCATAAGTCGGTATATGTACATTCGGATTAACTGATGGTAAGATTTCGGCGCCGCCGAATACCCTCAACACCAAATGATTAACGAATGGGTTGTCGGCATTTTAGGGATAAGAGTTTAGGATAGGGATAATTTGGGATTGGGCTAATCTCACTCACACGACATACAATGCTGTGGTTCACACCGGTTTTCTGTGAGGTCGTGGTATCGCTCCAGTTGAGCCGACCCATTTGTGCCGAAGCTTCGCTCTCTCACACTTAAATGATTAATTCCGAATAACAATTTACAATGTAATTTTATATTCGAGAGCAATGTTATTGAAAAGTTATATAATAACAAGATACATATACTTACAAAATTTTTTCAGGTAGCATACAGGCCCTCTAGGTCCACTTAGGGGAGGAAAAGAAATTGGATAATTTTCAAATGGGCAAAAGGGGTTAAATATGGAATGTCGATATTTGTACACATTATGTATTTTCAATAAAAGTATTTTCATTGCCGTCCTATTCATACCGAATATGAAGTAGCAAGATAATATTATTTTATTTATGTAGTTATTAATATTAGTAAAATGAGCATCGTTAAGAAAAGCTTTAGATAACCACCATCAAAAACTTTTTGGTTGTGCCTTATTTCAGGGAATGTAGGTCACCCTATTACGTTATAGTATTTTAATTATTAGTTTTCTATTATATTATTCTCATTCGTGATCAGCGTGAACAATTTAATGCGGAAGGTGTCGGCTCAGCATTTGTCCGTTAACGGCTATGAGCACGTTTTGTTTTCTTTCGTTTTAATCATATGAAAAAATCCTCGACATAGATTTAGTATAAATAATCGAAGCAATTTGTACCCAGCATCAATCGTGACATCCAGCACGATGAAGACACTAGTAGTAGTATCAGCTCTAGTATCTTTAGCCATCGCGGCTCCTACACTGCCCGAGGATGGCACCGAGAGCAGGGATACTACTTTAAACTTGGCCCATCAAGCAAAATCTACTTTATTAGAAAATCTGACTAAAGAAAGGACACCGACGGAAACTGCACCTGTGACACTTTTGCATAACGGAGCCCCAACCACCGATTTTCTAAACACGCAGATCAGCAATGATGGTACATCAATGCCTATGGCAAGGAGTTTCCTTTTGAAAAAACCATTGATTGTGAAGAAAAAATACGGATATAAACTCTACCGTGATTCCGAAGAAGAAAAAGCTCAGGCTGACTCCAACGAGACATGTGGAAGACAAGTCAAGGTGAAATTATGCGACGAAAATGAAAAATATAGAGCTTCGATGGTATCTACTGATGGAAATGTCGACATACATTCATCGGACGACGACGTGAAACATAGCATTAAGATGGCGAAGGAAGCTGTAGAAAATTTGCAAAGAGATCTGAAGAAAATGGAGATGAAGACTGAAATGAAAACTGCTCACGATTCACAATCTGATGTGGAACTTCATGAAGATATTGAAGTGGCTAGAAAAGCCCTTGAGCACATTCACGATAATTTTGAAAACTTAGAAACTATGAGTTTACGTGCAACGGCAACAAGGAACTCAGAAGATATGCACGATGTCCATCTGACTATAGCGAAAACGGAAGAAGAGCGAATGGCTCAATGGAAAGAAGCACTTGAAAACATTCAAAAGAATGTTGAAATTGCCAGAAACATTGAAGACAGTTTTAAAACTGCCAACACCCAGGAAGATATGGTACACTTAGACCAATCAAATGCTGCTTCTACATTTAACAACAGGATGGACGAAACTGCACTTTTATCTGAAACCGATCAATTACGTCTTGCACATGGTGTCAATTTAGAAGTTCACAATCAGGAAAGAACAACAAAGGACGAAAAACCATTGGAAAAGACAATGCATGAAAACATGGATGAACTAATTGCCAGGAAGACAGTAAATGTTGACGATGATATGAATTTTGCCCCATCAGAAATGATCGAAGTTCATTTAGATAACAACAAACATCACGAAACTCTGAAAAGCGAGAGTCATAAAATTGCCGAAAATGCAAAAAGTGCTGAACCCGAATTAGAAGACTCTAAAACTGTCGTCGAGAAAAACGATTTAAAAAATCTGCAACAGTTTGAAGACCATAACGTCCAGGAGAAAAGTGCTAAGCTTAATATGGAAACTTTAGAAAGTATTCCTACTGATGCCAGTACAAAACCTCTGACCTTTGTTCCAGTCAGTGAACAGCAAAGAACCGTAGAACTGAACGAAAACGGCACTGAAATTCAAAATCAACAGGAAAAAGTCAAAGAAACGGATTCTGACGATATAAGCGACTTCATCCTAAGATCAGCATTCAATACCGAGGAATCAAAGTTAACAAAGGAAGACATTGGCAACGAGCACATGGTAGCTAAAGATACTGAGGGCTTAAATCCTGAACAGAAAGAATTTCTTACTGAAACTTGGGATTTAAAAGCAAAGGAAGCTCTCCCTACTCCCCATAATGAAATTAAACATTTTGATACCATGCCTAAATCTACAGAAACATTGGAAAACAAGCATTTTCTAATGAGAGATAATGAACATGCTGAACGCGAAAAGTTTATTCAAGATCAGCTTAGGCAACAATGGATGCAACGTGAGGAGTTGAATCAGATGGAGACTTTACAAGCAATGAGAACAGCAAATGATAATCGCCTACAAAACCAAAAAACTATTTTCTGGCCACAGGCTCAGAGTCACAAAAATTTTGAACATCTGCCTTCAATGAAAGCTGCTGAAGATTTTGACCAGCAATTTGAGACTACTCATGGAGAACTAGAACAGGGTTTCGTCCCCGAGAATGCCATGGATCATTTCAGAAGCTCCTATGTACCAGAACATATCCATATGCCAAGCAAGATGGGTTCTCATGTCTCTGATTTGAGTCACAGTCACCATCATTCTCATTACCCCTCAAGATATCACCAGAACTCAATGACTCATCAACATATGCACGAGATGGCTGGTATGGGCAGCGCTATGCATCCCCATTTCCTTCCTCATATGAGAGATGCTATGGACGGTTTCGAGTCAGAACACACGTTCCACTGGCAGCCCACCCATGAATCCGCCAGAACAGCTTACGGAGCTTCTGGGTTATCAAGTTCAGTAAGTCCATCTGGTGCTGTTGGTGTTTTCCCTAACGCAAACGTTGGAGGTTGTGGTATTCCTTTACTTCTGAGCTGCTCACCTTCCGTGGTGTCAGGTAGCTTGGCAAAGGCACATTCAGCTGGCCCCTCATCCTACAGTGCTCCGCAATACAGAATGGAAGAAGACTTCAACTTCCTCACCAAACGTGGTATCAACATGAATGACATGAGGACCACCAACACCATGCGAGCCATGACTACTGCTTTAAAACAGAATACTCCCAAGACCTTAGAGAATAAAGCGTAAGGTAACTTAAACTTGGATCGTTTCGACCATTGACTATTGAGCTTTTTTTTACTTATTTATTATTAATTTAATTTTGTAATCATGTTTTATAAAACATCACAAAAATAATAAAGCATTTTCTTAAAACTTTCTTGTATTATTTTCGTGTCGCTCATCTTTAGCATTATTTTTCCTTGTTTTTTTATATTAATGTGTAAAACGAAAATAAACGAGTAAAGGCATGGCAAAGTATTAGTTAATTGTCATTTGGAATCAAAATATTGCAACATCTTTTGAACTAAATTCTAAATTCATTACAAACTGTAACATGAACCGTATATTCAACTGATTTATTGCTGATTTTGTGTCGTTGACTTGGTTCATTGCTCCGCCTTTATAGCATTTTACAATTTGTTTTAGTTAGAGAACATTGTTCAGTAGTTACTCACGATGTTTAGTGTGTGTGTCATATTAAGTGCGAGCTTCGGCTTAACTCTTACTTCTCCAATTTACAATAATCCTTTTTACTCTAATTATGGCAGTGCCGATTATGATAATATGGTTAGGGTTACACGAAACCTGCTGCCCAGGCCTGTCCCTGAATCACTGTTCCTGAGACCTCTAGAAGCAAACATGAATACAAATGACGCAAGGACATACTCAGACAACCCTAGCATCATTCGATTTCCCACATCTGGTGATTTGACTGTGCTGGATCCTTTACCGCATACCTCGTATTTCGACCACGGAATTCAAGCAGCACTGCCTTTAGAATACGACTTGACGAACCAAAAACTTTCATTACCGATCGAGTGGAACAATGACTACCTGCGTACATCCTATGAAACCGATATGACTAACAATCAAGCTTACCAAGGACTCAATAGAGGTTCAATGAACACAGACGTAGATCCATATGAAGTTGATCTATACCCTATGGTGCATACAAGTTTATCAGCAGCTTTGAACCCCGTGCTTCCTGCGAACAATATGGCTCCAGTGTTAGAAACCGAAATCCTTGAAACAATGCCGTCACTAAACACTCGCGGTGGATATGACATTGATGTACTGAATCCTGAAAACTCCGGAGTGATGATGCCCAACTCTCGACTGAAACGAGATTTTTTGGAAGACTTGGCCCATGAAGCGATGATGCAAAACCTTCTGCCGACGATGCCTGTGCCATTCACTCGTGGCGCCGAGATTTCGCCATCCTACTACTCCGGGACACCGCATTCAGCTTCGCTCGGTGAAGGTACAGCGATGGCAATTTATCCAAAAAGTAGTGTAAATACTGATGCCATCCCGATCCTCCTTAGATGTTCACCGAATGTTGTACGTGGAACGCTTTCCAGTGCTTACGCTGAACCAACGCCCCAGGTCGCCGGAGTGGCGTACAGAGAGAATTCAAAAACCCCCGTCAAAGAGTATACACCAAATAAAGTGTGAACTTTTAGTTCATAGTCATAAAACCATTTGCTGGCCCCAGTAATTAAATATTTTATTTGCAAAATGTATTTTATTTTCCCTCTTACATTTTTACCTATTATCAGTTCTTTATAAAAATATATCAAAATATATCATCTATTTTCAGTTCTTTATAAAAATATATCAAAACCAATTATCACATATTACGAAGTAAAAAAAAAATAGCTAAATAGTCCACTTGGTACATATGTGTAGAATTATCTTTATTATTAAATTTGGTAATTGAAAATTAAAAAAATATTTGTCCAGTACTAACTGTTAGTATCTCCAAATTAAGACACACATCATAAACATCACACATGCAAACATACATACAATTCTCACCATATATTAGATATGACTTAATAATAAAACATGCAACCAAATCTGGAATCTGTATGAATTTTATTTAATTACTTAGCCCGATCTGGGAATCAAACTAGGGAATACTCGGTCAGCAGTCGTACTTGCAACCATTTGCCCAAAAAAGGTGTGTAGGTATGTATCGCCATAATAAGCGTAAATTGCATTTTTAACAATTTAAATTAAATTTAGCAATTGGTTTTGTGATGCGGGTTCCATTCCCGCTTGGCCAACCCTTTGTGTTGTTTGTAATCCACAAATTGTTGCTCTGGGTCTGTAGGTAATGTGTATGTGGTTTTGGTATGTTTGAAAACGCACATATGCATGACACAGGAGAAAGTCCAAGTGCCGAGCTGGGTCTTAAAAACATAAATGTGACGGATAACTTAGAAATATTAAGAATTAGAAAGTGATAGCGCCACATATACCTATTGCAATTTGTTAATTTGAAAAAGGTTCACACAATAGTTTAGGAAGCATTCGTTAAAAATCCATTTTTGGTCCCATAAAAGATTTATTTGCAGTAGGTACACCGGGTTTTTACTCTCCTGTAAACGTGTCATTTTTTGGTATAGAAGTAATTGTAACAATGAAACAATGAAACAATGAATTTATTTTTGCAAATAGGCCATAAAACGGCACTTTTACACGTCAATATGTAATATGAACGACTACCAGCGGTCGCCCGCGGCTCCATCCGCGTGTAGGTCAATTTTACACTTTTTCAAGTTTCCTTCCACTGAATAATTCAAGACCAAAAATGGCCAAATCGGTAAAGGCATTGTTGCAACATTACAACGATGTAGATCTATATAGATGTTGTACGTTTATTGGTACAATGACTTTGCAGTATACGTATATATTTGTTTATATTGGTCGTATATCGTGTGTAAATATTTTTTTCCAGATACGCCACATTGCCCTCCAGGAGAGCTGATGGGGACAAACCTGCAATGCATCAGACGGCAGTTTATTATTGACACTAATGAATCACACTTAGAATATTACAATGAACCATAGGATTAAGAGCAAATTAATATTTGTTTTACAAATTGCGAATTTCCCCACTTGTTTTTTCAAATATGATTCAGAGGAGATTCTCCTAAATATATCTTTTTTGTCATATTTTTTTTAATGCGATTGCTCGGCAAGCGAGCACACGGATTGCCTGATGGTAAGCAATCGGCCCCGGCCAGTGACACGCGCAACACAAAGGAAGTTACGAGTGTGATGGCGGCCTATTTGTGATTAGGGTTTCGGAGATTTAGGGATTTGGGGCTGATTATATTATACGGGATAGGGAAGGATTGGGCCTCCGGTAACCTTACTCACAGGGCGAAACACAGCGCTTTGGTTGTTTCACGCTGAGTTTCTGTGAGGCGTGGTAACACTTCGTTCGAGCCGAAGCTTAGCTCTCCTACAATCATTTCACAAAAAGACACTATTGAATCAATTTTTTGTAGTTTAGGTTCAGTTGACTATATCTTTAAATTGTTAAGGCTTTACAAAATAAAGACAACGGTAGGAAAAATTTATGAATGAAAACAGTAAGGTTAACGTCAAGGATAAAATTTTTGGCACAGTTATCCCAGTTGCTTGATAACTGGCTGCTACGTGTAACAGTAACAGGTTCAATTCGCGCACAGAGCAACTCATTGAGTGGCTTACAGATTGTTGTTCCAGGTCTGACGTGTATGTGAATTTGTATGTTTGTAAACGAATTCACGACACAGGAGAAAAAAATAATGTGGGCAACGTGTTTTTAATAGAATAGGAAAAATGCAGACTTTTAGGCGTCAACCTAAGCTGGATCGTTATGATAAAGCCGTGGTATGAAATAGCGGAGCAGTTCACTTAAGGTCGTCAACTCGTCAACTAAATCGCATTAATATTTTATAGTAGGCCTTAAGATCTCCATAAATTTGTTCCGATAAAATAATATTTAGAAAACTAGCTATGCTTGTAGTAAGAATATTTATAGAATTAATCTGTTAGATGTAATTGTTACTTAATTAAAATTAAAGTCTTACGTTTCATTTCTGTATTATTGAGTGGGAAAATTGTAACTTGTAGCCGTAATTTTTTGAATGCCTTTCTGAAACTCATTCACTGATTGTCTATCGATTTTTGTGTTCATCACTACACTGTTATATGTGGTATCATTATTTCACAAAATGACAATAGGACATGTCAAATCAGGAATCGAATTAAAATTCTGACTATAGTTACCAGACGCCCTATATCCCCCATCTGTAATCCATAACTTTAATCTCTAACAATCTCTAAGTGTGGGAGAGCCATGCTTCGGCACGAGTGGGTCGGCTCGACCGGAGTTATACCACGGCCTCACAGAAAACCGGCGTGAAACAACCACAGCGTTGTGTTTCGCCGTGTGAGTGAGGTTACCGGAGGCCCAAACCTTCCCCTCCCTCAATCCCTCCTCAATCCCTAAATGTCCAAATCCCTAATCTCTAAAAGGTCGGCAACGCACTCGTAATACCTTCGTTGTGGGTATCCATGGGCGGCGCTGATTGCTTACCATCAGGTAATCTGTCGGCTCGTTTGCCGAACTATAACATAAAAAAACCCTCAAAAGCTAGGCAACGCACTAACTAACTCCTTTATTTATATATTTATTTATTTATATTCTCGAAGTTAAAGTTGAAGTTTTTATGTGCAGCGGCACATAAAAACTTCAACTTCAACTTCGAGAATATTATCGTCAAGTAATCCGTCTGTTCATTTTTTGTACTAACGCATAAAAAACATTTAAGTGAATGAAATATTTTATATCTGAATGTTAACCTGCTTCAGTTTAAGTCTAACTTGAAAAGTAAATTGCAATTGAGTTATATTGTTACTAGCTGCTCTCGCGCGGTTTTACCCGCTGCTCGGCTCCTACAGAGCGTAGCGTAATATTTTATAGCCTATAGCACTCAGGAACATTGTAGCTATCTATTAGTGAAAGAATTTTGGAATCCGACCAGCGGTTCCAAAGATTCCCCCTACATACAAACTTACAAATTTTACCTGTTTATAACTAGGTAGGTTAGGTTTTGAATCTGTAAACAGCATAGAAGATATGACCACCGTGGTTATATCGGCATTGGTAAACAGTGTGTATTTTTGCTGTAGATGGTTTTTATTTTAATTTTCAATTTAACTTATCCAACAATGTTTGTATATTTTGCTTGCTAAATGGTAAAGTATGGCTGCCCTTGTTAAAACATTGTCATCTTTATTGTCACCTATATTTGCGAAATAAATATATCTTTACCTTTAAAATAAACTAGCTACTTCCGCGCGGTTTCACTCGCTGCTCGGCTCCCTATGATTGTAGCGTGATGTTTTATAGCCTATAGCACTCGGGAACATTGCAGCTATCAATAAGTGAAAGAATTTTGTGAATCCGACCAGCGGTTCCAAAGATTACCCCCTACATACAAACATACAAACATATCTATCTCTTTATAATATTAGTATAGATGGGGCGTCACTACCATTCTACGCATACTCACAACCGACTTCGTTAACAATGGTACTTTTTCGTAGTATTTAACATTATTTATTTGTATGGTACGACTATTCCTTCTGTTTACACTGTCCAAGTTTAGTATTAGTAACACACAAATAGCGTGATTTTAATTCTTAGAAAATTGTGTACACAAATAAACAGTATCTTCCTTGAAAATGTCTAGTGTTTTCATGTTTATGTTGCTTTCAACGAATTTACTATACTTAGATAGTAATCACTATGTCATAATGCGCAAAATTCAATCGATTAGATACATACGTAGACAATTTACAACACTACTCTCTGATAGATAAGTATCTATATTTGGAATAGATAGCAGTGATGAATTAAAACAGTTCTTAGAAAGTTATTAAAAACAATCAACCTTGTAGAGCTTAGATACAATTATTTGTTTAGGTTTTTATTCTTTCGTTTATCCAATATGCAAGAAAATATATCACAGAACAGATTACCTATTTAACGAGGATGGACGATGGTTCTGGAAAAACATGTTTGGAAGATTACAAAGAACACATGTTAGGCTTGTCCGGAGTGACACCAAGGCCTCACAGAAAACCGGCGTGAAATAACTACGGCGGTTGTGTTCAACTTGTGAGTGAGGTTACCGGAGGCCCACTTCTTTTTCCCCTCTTCCAATCTCTAAATCTCCGAATCGCTATCGCTAAAAGGCCGGCAACGCACTCGCAACTCTTCAGGTGTTGCGGGTGACTATGGGCGGCGTTGATTGCTTACCGTCTGGTTTTTTTCACATTTTCAGTCCCATCATATAAAAAAAAAACCAAAAGGCAAGATAGGAACAGGACGGCCTCGCTTTAACTGGGTATAAGGTGTTTAACAAAGAGTCCTTATTATCCTCATGGATAACAAACATAACAGTTAACTACTTACCTGAGGAACCCAGCACAGATTGTCCTGGTGAATGGATAAGTAGAGCCAGACCAGACCTAACATAGAAAGAGACAAAGAAGAAAAAGAAGAAGATTGGAAATCGTTTTCAAAAGAAAACGTAAAGTGTGTGAGCCAAGCTTCGGCACGAATGGGTCGGCTCGACCAAATAACTTTTACATCAAATGTATACACATAAAGTAGCAGGCAACTATTTATACCAGGGTTAACTACAACAAGTTAATTATAAATCGTTGTTAACAACCCTGTTAACCATATTATTAATATACGCTCATAATAAAGCACCATAACAATATTGTTTATCCAACAAAACAGGTAATTATTTAATTACATTGCAGGGTTTTGCAATAATTTTGTATCTGTTCTGTAATTAATTTTATGAGACCTACATAAAAATTGAGGTTATATATGTTTCACCTAGATACACGCAAGGTACGTATTTGAGCTAGTTTACTTAATTTGTAACTATTATAGTTTTGTTATTTGTTGTAAATTTTTAATGTGATGACAACTCGATGATGAGTATGATATTTAGAAAAAATTATTACGTTCTTTTTATATCATGTCTGCATGGATAAGCGCAATGCCAAGGAGTGAAATGCGTTGCGGCATCATGTGAGTTATTGGGGATTGAAGACAGAATTCGGCTGGACCCGTATCTGCTGCTGCTCCGGTGGCCATGTGCGAACACATGCGACTTCGTACAAGGCCATCATTGTGAAATAATTTTTGACCTAACACTCAACAAATACCATCGAGCAGCCACCATATTTGCCAGATATGGGTCCAGCCGAATTCTGTCTTTTTCCTAAACTCAAATTACCACTTCATGGCACCCGTTTACAATCAGAAGAAGACAGACGAGAATATCGTAATGCATAATATGTTTTAATCATTATAATCTCTTTGCTCTTCAGGTATAAAGAGTTTTGATAATAAAGTAGGCGTAGGAAATTTTATATTTCCCACGGTACACCCAGGTGAACCAAGGTGAACAGTAGGAAAAAAAAAACTTCCCGCTGCACACCTAGGTGGTCTCACGAGGTGTACGGTGGGCAAAGAGCGGCTATTACTACTACTACTATAATAGTTACGAGTTAGTCAATTTTCTTTATAAGTAATCCTATTTTCCTCAAACTATTTTAAAGCCTTAGCGCTTGCTCATTTTTCCTCACAGTAAAGCAGGGTATTTTTACCAAAGTTATGAGAATTATTCAGCATGACATGCAAAACTACACGTTTAACGTTTTAATCACATTTATATGGACATTATCCTTCCTGCAATCGAATGTAATTGCGTAAGATTCCGAAGAACTGTATTTTGGGAAGGATGATGTGACGTACAAGAGTTTGGAAAACAGACGATCCCCTCTAATCGAGTGTTTACATTTGCGTCGAGTCTAAACAAATAACGGACCAGTCAGCTTGCCTCTTGCGTATCTGTGACGTAAAATATCGGTCCCAAAGATAACAAAACAACATTTAAAAGGCTGATAAAGAACTTGGAGCACCAAATAAATTGTGAACGTTTGATAGAAACAACGTTTAAAGAGTTATCACAAGTTTTCTTAGCAACGATGGCCAAGTTTCTTTTGTTGGTAGTATTGTCTTTGGTATTTGTCCTTGGCAATGCGAAGCACATCCACCCGAAGAGTGTTGGACAAATGGAGGAAGATGTGATCAATGACAGCGAACCGATTTTCACAGACATTGACGGCATGCCAATTGTAAGTAAAGACTATTTCTTTTTTTGGTTTGGTTGGTTAATTGGTTGTTGATAATTCAGCCAACCAATTAGATGACTTGACAAGAGATTAAATTGATTTTAACATTGATCGGCCTTTCGGAAACCGGGGGTAAATGATTCCCACACATTTTCGTACCACGAAGTCTGATTAACTAATCAGTTAAGACTACCACTTATCCGCAGGTGGTAAATTCTACAATTGATAAATGACCAAGTTATTTTCTCTTTCAGGAGGTGATACGTAACATCAAGCCAAATCGGTTCGTGCCGATCAACAACGAGCTGTTTTTCGCGAGGTACCCGCCTTGTGAGGAGGGCTTCGAGAGAGATCTACTAGGCGTCTGCAGGGAGGTCTGGGAATAATTCAAATCGTCATCATCATCATCATATCAGCCACAGGACGTCCACTGCTGAACATAGGCCTCCCCCATTGACTTCCAGATAGGCCGGTTGGAAGCGACCTGCATCCAGCGGCTTCCTGCGACCTTAATCAGGTCGTCTAATAAAATAATTCAAATAAAGAACGGAAAATGTGTTGGCTGTTTCTTCGGAAGTGTCGATCGATAGTGTTAATAAATGCTCTTCGCAAGCCAATTTGCCTGCTTGGCATATGTTACAAACATGTGGTTCAACGAAGAAATGTTTCGTGAATTATGTTACCTGTATTCTTGTATTAAACCGTGTGATATTAGCGTTAAGTGCCATGTACTTTGATCTTATTTAATAACACGTAAGGTAGATTAAGAATAGACATTTTAAAATTATTTTAATAAACCATTCTACTACAAAACAGATTTCATTTTAACATAATGCAACTGTTAAATTTGTAATAAAAACAAATAATTGTAACGAGTCGAACATTATATTATATCACAAAACGATTGCACAAACGTATAAATAATAATTTAACGTTTATTATAATTTATCTCAAAAACAATCACAAGACACTTACGATTTCATTACTGTAAGTACTATTAGTGAACATGTCTTAATAAACAGAAAATTTAAAATTTCTCCCAAAATGTTTATAACGCTACAGTGCACTTAAAGTACCCATAGAGTCCACGGCAGACACAATCTCTCGTCACAGAGTGAATCAATTTTGACCTCTTCGAGCTGGCAAGCAAGCAGGCTGGCGGCCGGCGCATGGCGGGCTGGCACGGCGGACTAGCATGTCTGCCTGATTAAAAGAGATATCACAATAGTAAATAAAATGCGTAAGTAAATGGTTTTATCAATTTTATGAAAAAAATTTGTTCGAACTCCATGTCTAAATGATCGTGATATCATTACAGTGGGAAAATATACTTATGTCAAAATTGACAGTTGACAGCGCCAACATGTGTGTGTGTGTGTTTAATTGTTTTTCGTCGTCTACCAGGAAGGTGGAGTTGGTGAAACCGTATTCTTGGTAATGGAAGATGGAATGGATGAATCAAAGAGTAAGAAAGGAAGAACAGACACCGACGAACGGTATTTTGGTTCTTTAGTATCACCACTTTTGAATAGTAGTAATAACTTGATGTTAGCATTGCTAAAACATAAATGTGATGTGTTTCCAAAGGGGGTGTTGAATGATATTGGGTTGCCTGGTACGGTAAACTATCCATGGCATTAAGACCACATTGTGAATCACGATTTTTGTCTAAGGGTTTAAAAAAAACTTACTGAAATATGAAGGTCACATAAGCGAAGCAGGCGGTAGCGTGACGGCGCCGTGTCCGGAGAGAGGCGAGGGGAGCGTGGCCACGCCTCGTATCCACGCGCCGCGCTCGCAGCAAAACGACTCCACATTGTTCAAAGCTCGCATGTAAATCGTTGTCACACCACCTAATAAATTATATTCACTTGATATATTCATTCAAGACAGGACATGCTTAAAAATGTATTGACTCCGGCGTTGGCGCAGGTTTCATAATGCTAACGTCTCCTGATCTCATTTGCATCATATGTATAGTAGCAGTAGAACGTATTGAATGAGCCCATTTTGGTGCTCAATTACAATAACTTTTTCCACGGGACCAATATCCAAATCTCAAAAATAAAGCTGTTTCCCCATACAAATCGCAACAGCTGATTGATCATTCTGTATGGAGAAGTAAAAATTTTTTTGAGGTTTCCATATTTGTCTTATGGAAAAAGTTGTATAGGAGACCTAATCCTTCCCCTCCCACAGTCCCTAAATCTACAAATCCCAATCGGCAACGCGCTCGTAAATCAACTGTTGTTACGGGCGGCGCTAATTGCTTACGACTAGGTAATCCGTCTGCTCGTTTGTCGACCTACCACATAAAAAAAAGTTGTTTTATTTGATAGGGTCCTTGAATATGTCCTACTTTTAACCTAACACCCTGTATATACAGGTACATACTACTCCTATAAAACGACTGCGTGACGTCGGACGCTGCTTATGAATAAGAGTCCCGTTGTGACTCGAAACTAGTAGAACTTTTGTCGGCTAATGCAACGTTGAGTAAGTCCTTATCTATGTATATCTATACTAATATTATAAAAAGGTAAAATTTGTAAGTTTGTATGTAAGGGGTAATCGCTGGACGGATAACAAAAATTCTTTCACTGATAGTTAGCTCCTCAATAGATAGTTCCTGAGTGCTATAAGCTATAAAACATTACGCTAAGATTAAACGGAGTTGAACAGCGGGTGAAACCGTGCGAAAGTAACTAGTTCTAAATAAAATATGTATAGATTTGACATCTATAACAACTACAGATTGCGGAAAGCACAGAATAGTTCTTAGAATATATGTACCTCAGACATTACGTCAGTGATTACAGTTACCGACCTCAAATTTCAAAAGTATTTACACGACAAATAAATCCCCACATCCTTAGTCATCATTCAAATTTCGAATTCCCGACACTGCGGTTTTCAAGTCATCGAACTATTTAAACTTGGAACACGAAATTGTGTTTAAGTATATCCGTTGGCAAATATTTAAAAAACTAAAGCCGGATACTTATTACGGAGGTCTAAATATGCATTTCGTTGTCTATGTCTCATTTGTGTGACAAAAGAAGTTCCTGCTAGTGTTAGATACTAATCATTCTGCTTACGTACAAATTTTAATTTAGTGAAAGGAATGTGTACCTACATATTTACCTAGAACTAGATATAATGTAATGAATAAGGCCAAAGTCGAAACTATTCTAAAATGAATAAATTAGCAACATTCTATGAAATTTGTATGAAATAGCACATTATTACGTCAAATAGAATAAACAAAAAAAAAGAATATTGAATGTACCTACATCATAAAAAATATTTAAGTAGGTGTCATTAATTGGTTGTGATAACATTTCTCGTCATATGATCATTAATATCTTGGATCACCTCCTGCCAGCTTTAACCCATATCATAAATTATTCCCTCTTTTCCGGAACCTTCCCATCCCTGTGGCGTAATGCCTATGTCCGTCCTCTTCCGAAAGTCACTGTTCCTACTATTCCCTCTCATTTTCGGCCTATATCTATACTCCCGTTCCTATCCAAAGTCCTCGAAGCCTGTGTTCATAAACAGCTTTCAAGATACATTTACACGAATGGACTTATCAGCCCTCTACAATCTGGATTTAGACCTGGGCACAGCACGGTTTCCGCCCTCCTCAAAGTGACTGGCGATATTAGAGCGGCTCTTGAGGATACCAAGGCCACCATTCTGGTTTTGGTTGATTTTTCGAATGCCTTCAATATGGTCAGTCACGAAATCCTTTTAGCAATCTTATCCCATCTTGCGATCTCTGGCAAATCGTTGGAATGGTTCTCTTCCTATCTTCAGGACCGTCAGCAGTCGATTAAGCTTGATGAGTTTTCATCTAATTGGTGCAAATTGAAAACTGGCGTTCCTCAAGGCGGTATATTATCTCCTCTTTTATTTTCCATCTTCATTAATTTAATAACTTCTGAACTTCAGTGTGCGTACCATCTGTATGCCGATGACTTGCAGTTGTACTGTCCAGCTAATATTGATGGGCTCTCTGAAGCAATTATGACGATCAATAGCGACTTGACTGCTATTAAGAACTGGTCTGAACGGTTTGGCATAGCGGTGAATCCTTTAAAATGCCAAGCAATCATTATAGGTAGCTCTCGTACGCTAAGCGGAATGAACCGAGCAAATTTACCAAACATTCTCTTTGATAGTGCCACTATCCCGCTAAGCAATGAGGTAAAGGATCTGGGCCTGTATATTGACTGTACTTTGAAGTGGCATGCACAAGTTGCGAGCGTATGTAAGAGGGTCACTGGATCCTTACGGACACTGTATCGACTAAAGAATTTGCTTCCGTGTTCTACGAAAGCGATGCTGGTGCAGGCCTTGGTTTTTCCTATTATTGATTATGCTGATGTTTGTTACTACGACCTGAATGCTGATCTACTCAATAAACTTGACCGACTTCTTAACAACTGCATTCGATTCGTTTTCAACCTGCGTAAATATGATCATGTTTCTGCACATCGGTTGCAATTAAAGTGGTTGCCCATACGCCAGCGCAGGGAGCAAAGGGCGCTAACCACTCTGTTCTCTTTCCTTACATCACCTTTTTCGCCTAGCTATCTATCGTCTTACTTTCAATACATGTGCGCAAACCACAGCAAGAACCTTCGTTCTTCCCATAACCGTCTTCTTCAATGTCCCACTCATCGTACTGATTTTCTCCACTCCTCCTTTTTCGTTCAGTCTGTCTTGCTGTGGAATGCGCTCCCCCCTGATATCAGGATGGTCTCTAGTCGTTTGACTTTCAAACAAAAGGTTCGTGAGCTCTTGCTAAAAGGTTCGGCTGAATCGTGACCACCATATATATAGTATATTATAATAAGTATAAGTATATATTATATATGTATATGTTATTTATAAATATATTATGTAATTTGAGTACTTAGTTTATATATCTATTGTATTGTAACTTGTATGTAAATATTTGCACATATATATGTATCTATCTCGTCTTCACTCATTTAAATTTAAGTCTGTTTGCTTGCTTCTTGCACCGACCATTGGCTCATCTCTGCATCACCCAAGGCTCGACTGGTAGAAAATGCCTAAGGCATTAAGTCCGCCTATGTACCCATTGTGCATGAAGTTTTAATAAAATAAAATAAAATAAATAATAATGAATTTTCTATGGTTTTGGAAGTAGATTTTTCTATGTGACAGGGCAGCTGACAGACCTGTCGAATTACCTGATGGTAAGCAATCGGCGCCGCCCATGGAGACTCGTAATACCAAAGGAGTTACTACGAGTGCGTTGCCGAACACTTGGAAGTTGTTAGGGATGTCCGGATAGAGGATTTAAGGATAGACGATAGGGGAGGGGGAGGATTGGGCCTCTGGTCTGGATCGGACATACACACCGCGAAACACAACGTGAGTGTCGCTTCACGCCGGTTTCTGCGAGGCCGTGGTATCACTCCGGTCGAGCCCGCCCATTCATCAAATGTTATGTGAATATATTGAAACTCAGCAAAACCCGTGAGTGATAATAAGAACTAGTATTGGACTAGATTTCAGTAGGACAAGGCTGCCAGAAAAAAAGAATTAAGCTTCAGTGATGTTGACCTTATTTACGGTTAAAACTCATATAAGACCGTATGACACTGACATAAAGTCGAAAATACTATATTCAACCAATATTTTCAAACGTGACAAGATTTGATGAACGTTTTTTAACAATATGACAATTACATATTATACTCTAAATAGTTTTACTTATTTAAATCTGTATTCATCAGTTTTCTATTAGACATATCCGGTATAATTGTGTGACCTAGTTAATTTAGATAGCTATTCTAGTAATAGTTTCAAATAATATAAACATTTTGAAATAATTATTTAGCTTTCTAATTATTGAGCTTTCTTTTCATCACAAAACATTGATTAGTAGCAGATCCGTCTGGATATAGTTATTCAAACACTCAAAGCATTATGCTAGCGTTCAAAATCAATTATTACATTCCTGGGTTTTCCTACCGATGAGAATACTCAATCACTAGGTACATAGTATAAAACAAATTCGCATTAACTATCTTCTATGTAGGCTTAAATCTTTAAAACTACGTAACGGATTTTGATGCGGTTTTTTAAATAGATTGAGTGATTGAAGAAGAAGGTTTATTTTAGATATAAATGCCATCCAACAAAGAGTGCCGAACGTAGAAGAAGCCGGGGCGAGTTGCAAATATTCTAATTAGTTACTTCTTTTGAACAACCATTATCACCTGTCATTAATTAGATGATTCAAATGGAAAATGTCGTGATGGCCCGAATGTTAAAACAACAAGCATCTCACACAAGAAGGCGCGTGTTGGACCTGTCAAGTGTCAAGTCCCATCGTGATCGTCCCATGCTACACTAATTCCTAAGAGGTTGGCAACGCACTCGTAACTCCTCCGTTGCGGGTGTCCTTGGGCGGCGCTGATTGCTTATCATCAGGTAATTCGTCTAATCGTTTGCCGATATATTACATAAAAAAAAACGCCACTGACCAACGGTGAAGGGTAACATCGTAAGAAAACCTAGACCTGTAGATTCTAATTTCTATACCTAAGTTTAAAATGGAAAATGTTAAATGTAACTCCGCATTGATTAAGCGCGGTAATTAATGCTCAAATTTCCTCCGTGTGAAAAGACCTTTTTCTCAGTAATGGGCACTTATACATAAGTTGATGATGATATACGATGAGATATTGGATTATGGAGACTATGGAGTTTCTTACTCGTTCTTCTCCATTCGAGTCTACACCTTGGAACGAGCACCTACCTTCACTGACGAACAGACTGACAGAGTTATTCTATTTCGACGTTTCAAAAGCGTTACCCATTTATAGTTGGAATAAATGATTTTGAATTTAAATTAATTACAATTTAACCCAAACATTTCCACATAAATGACTTGTCAATTGTTTAATAATCTTGAGATCATCAAAATCTGTCTCTGAGCATTATGCAATTACTGATTTATGATGTTTTTATAGACGTAACGAGCGATTATGTTACATCATCATCATAATGACGGTCGCCATCAAACAGTACCTGTTATTGTAAAAACATCTCGTGGAAAGAATTGTAATGAGGATGAAGTCTGGTCTCTTTGAATTAGTATTTAGTTATATAATAATCTCACTATGTCACTTTTGTCAGCATGACTTGCTAGAAGCACTGTTTATGGTTTGGGGTTACCCACTTAAAAACGACATTCCAATAAATCTTTCCTTTTTAAAAATGCTGGAATGCCACTCACAACTACAATTACTCATAATTATGTTATATTTTTTTTGCAAGCATATTTCTATTGCTCAATATTATAGACTGATGATGTGATGTGACATCTATACTAATATTATAAAGTGGAAAAATTTGTAAGTTTGTATGTAGGGGGTAATCTTTGGAACCGCTGGTCGGATTGCCAAAATTCTTTCACTGATAGATAGCAACAATGCTCCTGAGTGCTATAGCCTATAAAACACTACGGTTAAATGGAGCCGAGTAGCGGGTGAAACCGCGCGAGAGTAGCTAGTCTAGAAATAAATACGTACCAATAATGATAAGCTGTGTTCCTAAATAGGCTAATGCGTGTCCATGTCTGGGCATCGACATTTCCGTCTCCTGTCTCCATTTTCGCAGTTTCCAATCCCATACATCGATCGCACCGACACTGGTCACCGTCTGTTCCTATAACACAAGGGCTTTTGGTAAATATGTATATCTACCTATATCTTCAACTCGTTATTGGTAGAGTTTCTTAGTTGAACTAGTCTTGCTGAAATTCTCCGTATGAGAGATGTGCCTACTAAATACATTTTTTTCTCTTTATTTATTATTAGGGACTTTTTCACGGACGTGTATGCCAGTCCCATCATACCTTATACTAATACAATCTAACTAAAGCGTAACCTAGCGAACATAAATACTTTGGCGGCAACCTCCGAATTAGGTGTAGATAAAAGATTGTGATATACACCTATGTACATTATACATATTTAAGTTTAAGTCCTTAAACAATTTTATTCGGTCAGACTGAAATCTGGCACATTCCAACAATGTGTATCACATCTTCCGGTGTTCCACATACATCACAATTTGGTGAGTCGGATTTTTTCATTAAAAATCTAAACTTATTAAGGGACAAGAGTCCAGATCGCAGTCTGTGCGCGATCATAACAATTTTTGTTTTTTGTATAGCTATTTTTGTGAGACATACTATATTGAGAGAATTAACTAAGAAAAGCTCTACTAGTTTACAACTAGTTATTACTCTACTTATTGTCGTGGTGGCCTCGAGGTTAAGGTCCCGCTTCTCACGCGTGTGGGTTCGAAACCTGGCAAGTACCAATGTGACTTTTACCGAGTTATATGTACTTTCTATGATTATTTAGACACCACTGACATACGATGAAGGAAACATCGTGAGGAAACCTGAACTTATAATTTCTAATTATAAGTTTGAAATCGCCACCCCGCATTGAGCAAGCATGGTGATTAATGCTCAAACCTTCTCCGTGTGATAAGAGGCCTTTGCTCAGCAGTAGGCACTTATAGGCTGATGATGATGATGACTACTCTACTATCACTCGATTGGCTGAGCAACGTCGCTGCGACGCGCATTCTCATGAATAAGAACCCCGTTATGATACGAAACAAGTAGAGCTTCTCTCAGTAAATTTAGGTGCTTATGTCGTTATTTTCGATAAATTAACATTTTTCTTATTTGAATGGGTCTAAAAGTGCATAAAGCCTGCGTTATATACGTAAAATCTACTCGAGTTTATAACTTTATTAAGTTTTTTTATCATTCGTTTGCTGTCTTTTGGTTAAGTCTATATTGGTTATAGGTGAAAAGGAGAGTTTAAAATTTGATTTACCTTATCCGAAACTTTTCCAGCACCGCCAACTATGTACAATTTATCGTTCATTGCAAACATCGTTGAGAAACATCTGGGAAATCGCAGACTGTGTATTTCTGTCCATCTGCAATGTTAGTAATGTTATTATGTATAAAATGCAAAAGAAATTGTGTATCATGTTGAAATCCTGCCAGATCTAAGATCGATAACAAACAAAGTCGATAAAGTCGATAGTCGGTTTTTAGGAGAATACAAATTGCAATATGGAGGATATTGTCTGTACTGTATTATCTATGAAAACAGAAACAACATGTTTACAAACTATAACACATTCTACCAACAAAAAATTTACTGCACGGCTGAAGTAGGGCAAAAGGCCACCATTAAACGTATCTCGGGTTAGATTTCCGCACTCTTTGTTTAAGTTGTTGTTCCAGCCATGATACGGGAAAAAACGTTGTTTTTTATGCGATACAAGCAGACGGATCACCGGAAATCAGCGCCGTCCATGGAAACCCTCAACAATAGAACAGTTACGAGTGCGTTGCCGATCTTTCGGGGATTTGGAGATTAAGTGATTGGGGGAGCGGAAGAATTGGGCTTCCGGTAACCTCACTCACACGGCGAAACGCTACGCTGTGGTTGTTTCACAACGTTTTTCTGTAAGGCCGTGAAATCACTCCGGTCGAGCCGACGCTTTCGTGCTGAAGCTTGGCTTATCCATACCTACTTAGGCTAAGACTTTCTGGTCTCTTTTTATTTTTTTTTGCATCAAATTTTGATTTTATCTACTTATGAAATCCTGCAAAGTAATGATTATTCCTATTTGACTGCACAGTTGGTGCGGTGGTTGGGCAACTGGCTGCCGTGCAACGTGTCGCGGGTTCGATTCCCGCACGGAACAACACTTTGTGTGATCCGCAAATTGTTGTTTCGGGTCTGGGTGTCATGTGTATGTAACATTGTATGTTTGTAAACACACCCACAACACAGGAGAAAATTCTACAGTGGGGCAAGTTTTTTTTTTTTTTAAATATCCCATTATTAAAATGCTACCTACTCGTTAGTAGTCGAGTTATAGCACTCGACTATCTTGCAGACAGGTTTCTTTTTCTCTCCCGTCATGCCACCAGCCACCCAGATATATTCGCGGTACTTCGCACAAGCCAGGGCCATTCGACACACGCTCATGGAACGCACTTCACTCCAGGATCCCGTCTTAGGATCAAACTTTTCTACTGAGCGTAGCACCCTGAAATAGATTATTAATATGAATTAAATAAATCACAACACATCATCAGCCTATAAGTGCCCGTTGCTGAGCAAAGGCCTCTTCTCAGACGGATAAGGTCACATTAATAACGCATTTATATATAACACATTTGCTCAAGGCGAATTGGCAATTTCAAACTTATAATTATAGTTTATAAGTCCAGGTTTTTTCTCCGTTTGCCACTGGTATCTGAATAATCATAGAAAGTACACATAAACTCGGAAAACAGTTTCATTGGTACTTGCCAGGTTTCGAACCCGCACCGTCGTTATGCGGCACAACGACTTTTTTATCTGGCATTTATATAACATACTAGCTTCCGCTCGCGGCTTCGCTTGCGTGTTATGTTGATAAAAAGCCATGTCCTATTCCGGAGTGTATCCTATGCCTGTGCCAACTTTCATCCAGATCCGTCCAGTCGTTTTGGCGTGATTGAGTAACAAACATCCAAACTTCGTAACTTTTCCATTTATAATATTAGTAAAATAGTCAATTGAATGAATAAAACATTATTTTAACATTTACGTTAATTAGTAAAAGTATTTGGTACTTTCGCTTATGTAACGAATAATCGAATGACATTTTCATTCAAAATTTACACAGAAGTACAGAGAAGTACCTATCTACCACCTTATTTCAGAGTATTACTCTGTTAACTAGTATCGAATATCTATATCTGTAGACAAGTGTATTAGGACCCTAATCGCCATGCAGTTCACCGATGATCTACGGTAGCGGAGGATTTGCCTTCAATAGTTTTCTGGTCGGTGTGTTAAGTGCAAATTCCATAAATAAATAATCACCTCCCCTTCTTATCCAGTCCTCCAATAGCGTACATGGCCATGCGGTGCACCACAAGACCAAAGTTCTTCCTCGGCGTCATTAGTCCACTTTCGCTGAACCACGAACGAGATACTGGTTCGAAGCTCCACACGGTTGACACCACAGCAGACTTGCCCCGTATGTCATCATCACGAGGATCAGCACCGCCTTGTATCCAGTACAAATGTCGAAAATTACAATTTAATTAAGTTTCACAAATACCCCAATAGTACCTATACAGAAACGCTCATGGTTTTTCGAAGAAGGGAGCAGGCCATTGCATTCTACCAAGCAGAATTGAATTGTTTTATATTATGTCTTCAGTCTGTCAATTTGACAATTGTGGATTTGCAATTGCTCTGTGATTTGAGAAGAAAAATTTTAACTTTCCACCAGATATTGTAACTTTTAACAGGCAAAAGTTTTTTTAAATCATATAAACTAGTGCTTGTCTGCAATACCATCTGATGATGAGCAGTGATGCAATCGTTGATGGCAAGACGCACTAGTTAAGAGCCTATTCACTTTTCTAAATCATAACTGGACGAAAAGACCGTTACTCCCGTAAAAGTAGTAAGCCGCAAGGACCGCATTTTAAAACCATTCAAATTTTTTAAATCCTGCTGTCCTTTTCAAACGTTAATGACTCAAAAAAAAAAATGTTAAGCCAAAAATAATTATTGATCATGATAATATGTTTTATGTAACTCATGACGGCCGTGCGGTACCGCGGTACGCTCGCTTCGCTCGCTCGCGTCGTGCGTTAAGAGTCACAGTTCTAACCTAACCTAATTTATCCAAGTGGTAGTTCCCGAAAAGTATTTTTTACACACGCTAATGTAATATAATAAACAATGTACAAGCAATAAGTAAGCTTACATATTATATTTAATATATAATCATACGTATTCATTACCTCGCTAATATTTGATGGTCATTTACTACTTTTGGTACCTGAATACAAGTTATAATGGTATCAAAGCATTTTATGGTGATAATTATATTATCTCCGAAGAAATTATGTTCATATAAAAATTCTCGAATCTTCTCAAGAACATACCCACAAGATAGACCCGGCCTCGTAAAAAGGCTACCGAGTGATGATGTCTTGGCTCTGGCAGATCACCTACGTAGTCCCAAACATTGGTCACTGGATCGAACCTAAAATAATGTTCAATTCAGCTTTAGTTTTGTAGATGACAATTGCAAATGGTAGTTTATCTAGATAACAAAATTATAAATAAATATCACTCTAACCAACCATTCCAATAGATAATAATGATTGCTTTAAAGGCCAAAAATAATAAGTTGTGTTTACCAAATATGTTGAAAAAAAAATTTGCCTGAAGACATTATGTCATAGAGCTTAAGCGTTCTAGAGAGCCAGTCTTTTTTAAACACGCTTATTTTTATAACTTCATGATATTTTGCGAGTATCATTAACGCATTTTCAAGCTAAAAAATATTATTGATAATGTTCACCTGTAGATATACTTTCCGATGTTGCCACCGAATCCATACGTAGTGAGGTGATCGATTCCACCGAAAACAAGAACTGTCTCTCTGTCCCAATTGAACAAGGAACCCTCAGCGATGTAGTTCTTGTTCGAAGGTCCCAATATGGATGTGGATAATTTGTTCCTGAAAGAAATTATATAGCATTTTTTTTCTAACATATATTATAAACGTGTAATATTTAATAACATTCGTGCAGGTGCACTTTATCATGTTGATTGTTGAAAAAGTAGACAAAAGGAGTGAACCAAACCGGAATAGATTTGAGCGAAAATTTAAGTCATTGTATGATTATTAGAAACGTTATAATTTTATACAAACTTTAAAGTGTAATAATATTTAGTAATAAGTACATTTAAGTAGCTATGTATAGAGACACATTTACCCCACGTCAAACCCTTGCAGCAGTTTTGTGGGGCTTAGCTTATAAAATACTGACCTTTCTTGAATAAAGACAATAAATACTGAATAAAGTAGAGAAAAACTGACATGTTATTCTTTGCCAGGGACTCCTTTGACTGGTTGAAGAGAGATATCTGTGGACTACCGATGTTGTTCTGTGACGTGGGCGCGTTGGGCCGCGGCGTTGCCTCAGATCGCGACGCATTCACTGGCGGTGATGGTCGACTGCCAGAAGTTGGGCTACCGATAATAACAAAGACTATAATCCTACTATTATAAATAAAAATGATTGTGAGGTTGGTATTCGTTGGTGTAATGATCTAAATAATCACAATGTCAATGCAGATTAATTGAAAAAGCAAGTTTTCGATATTCATTCCCCTGGCTTTAGCATCTGCCAAACGTTAACAAGCTTATTGGAGTTATTATTCCTACAAAATGGATTACTTTGGGTAAGCAGATACAGATAGCGGCCTCGACCTGGAGCACGAAAAGGGAAGGGTTTTAGTCAGTAAGAGTCTGACACTCCTTCTCGCCCCAACCAGGCTGAAAGGAGTCATAAGATAATTATCCTCTTTCAAAAAGAGAACAAATTCAGATTGTCGATAAAAGATTCTGAAGTCTAAATCGAAAGAACGAATGAACTTTTGTTAGTAGTGAAATAGCTTACATCAACTTAAATTAAGACAATACTGACCTTCGCGACCCTGCCAAAGCTGCAGTTGCAGCGGCAAGATATGAAGCTGCAACGCTATGTCTCTTCTCGGTTCTTCGCATTCCATACTGGGTTTAGAGAAAACCATACGATTAAAAAAAACCCGCCATTGACTATTATGAAGAAAAATAAAGTAAGAGTAAGTTCTGCTTTTAAAAATAGCTGTGCAAAAGCTACAAGGTTCAGTATCTGGTAAGTGGTTCGGGATTGCTGAGCGAGCGCAATGACACCACAGCTTCGGCCTAGATAGCCGGGGCTGCGGGGTAAGCGCAATGAGGCACCGCGACCTCGGCCCAGAGCAGGAGAAGGAACGGGGGGGTTTTTAGTCCGGGGGGGTTTTTAGTTGTAGTTAGTTGTGTGTGAAATAAATGGTTTTTCTTTCTTTTCTTTCTTTCTTTCTTTCTAGTCAGTAAGAGTCTGATACTCTCTCTCGCCTTATAGCCTAAGAGCTAGTGAAAAGCTACCTATATGTATTTGACCAGACCTGGGCCTTTGTACATTGAGGCCCCTATACCTACCATACATGAGATGGGGACCCACTAAGCCCAGAGTGGTGGACGCGGCGGGCGCTCAGGTAAGACAGGTAGTGATTTTTAGCAAATTTTAAATTTATTTGACAACGTCTGCCGTTTAGAAATTTTAAAACATATTATTATTATTATTGGAAAATGACAATGGCAGATCATTATCACGCGTTTAACATTATGGCAGACAGTTATGAAATCACTGAAAAGAATAAAATTTTGAAAGTAGTTGACCAGATCTGCCATTGATATATTTTGTTTATTAGGGTCTTAAAAACCTATGTTCACCACGGCGGACGTTTTTATTGACTGCACACTCCAGCAGATAACAAGACTTAGCTACTACCCGGTCAGAGATGTATATGGATATCGTTCTCTGTTTTACATCAATGATTAACTTTATAAATGTTTTTATAGTATTTAATATAAAATATTATAAATTGTAGAATAAAATTTATAAGTTTAATAATTAAAAAATAAATACATTTCGAAAGAATCTCAAACATTGAGGTTGATTGCAGATAAGAAATGATCATTCAAATATTTATATTATTTTGTTCTTTTTTATTCATTTAAAAAACAATTAACAATATAAATTAAAAAAAGAAATCATGCATTACAAAATATACATTTCTTTCCGTTTACGTTGTCTAACTCATCTTCATCATCCCTTGAATCGGATTCTGTAAAAATAAAATGTAAATGAGGTATAAATAGAATAAAAGTAATGGATTCTTTGATTCAAATATATTTGGTAAAGAATTAATTATTATAAACTTACCAGGGATTTTGGTGATTAAGTCACTCACAGAAGTGGTCTCCTTGGAACCATTTAAATACAAATTTATCGTCTTGTTCCATCCAACCGTACTCTAATGGATCCAATGTGGTAGGTTGCTTTTTATAAGCATTTTTTCCAAACAGTTGAAATATAATGGGCTCTTAAAAATTTCTGGTAAAGCTCACTTTTACACGGTGGTATTGAGTTTGCATCAAAATTTTGAATTTTCTTGCTAAAATTACTATGATATGCAGCGTCAAACATTTTGTCTGGTAAAATAATATCTTTGTATTTTAAGTTATGCAATTTTCTTAACCTCAAAATCTTTCGGCATTTTGACAGTGTTTTTTCAGAAAATAATATTAATTTACTAGTTTTTACAGCACTACAAAATACACACTCCACTTCTTCTTTTTCATTCGACATCGTGTAAAATATATTAATCAAATAAATGTAAAATTAACAAAAATAAATAAAGCAACATTTAATATTTTATTACATTCACAAAACACGAAAAACACGAAGCATTTGTATGGGAGTCCACAACTATACTAAAAACATCTGACAAAGACCGTCACGAAAGGGAGCTTAACAGAGCCCGCTCAGGTATAAACCCTGAATTCTTTGAATGCTAAATAACTATAAAAGAAGCAGTGCTTCGACAATTTTATGAACTAGGTGACAGTAATTTGAGGTTGCAATGGATTCCATCTCATATTGGCATACATGGAAACGAGAAGGCTGACATATTCGCAAAGAAAGCTATATTGGAAGGAATCGAAATTGACATTGCTTCATTATATACGGAAATACTTAGCTACTACAAAAACATATGCTACAATCGTTTTAAAGAGTATTTCGACATTAAATGTAAAGAGAAAGGTATATGGTATAAGACTATGCAAAGTGAGCCTCCCCGAATCCCTTGGTTTGCTGAGGGTCGTACAAAGAGGGCTTACGTTGTGATGGCACATAGATTGCGTTCTGGTCATCTTCCATCCAGGAAATTTGGATACCTCATGAAAAAAGTCGATTCACCTAATTGCCAAGTGTGTAATAGAGTTGATGATGTCCAACATTTACTGGTGGAATGTGAGAAGAACAAGAAAGAAAGAGAGATAGTGATGCGAGAGCTAAAGATTAGTAGGTATGATATTGGGGCTTTTATTAAGATGTTATCTTCACCAAATTCAAAAGAAGCGGAATTGATCTATGAAATGGTTGCTGCATCACTGTCCCCCTCGCTTACGCAATAATAATTATCTCTGCTATTGTTAATTAGTTAAGTTACATATGTAGTTATATTAGGGTATGATGAGGCTGACATACCTTTGTAAGGCAAAAGCCTCTAAATAAATAAAGATAAAAAAAACTATAAAAGAAAATAATGTAGGCTAGAATGAATACAAAAGTAACACATAGGAAAAAAAAGATAGCTACATAGACAGTCTATGCATTCATCTCTGACCGGGTAGTAGCTAAGTCTTGTTATCTGCTGGAGTGTGCAGTCAATAAAAACGTCCGCCGTGGTGAACATAGGTTTTTAAGACCCTAATAAACAAAATGTATCAATGGCAGATCTGGTCAACTACTTTCAAAATTTTATTTTTTTCAGTGATTTCATAACTGTCTGCCATAATGTTAAACGTGTGATAATGATCTGCCATTGTCATTTTCCAATAATAATAATAATATGTTTTAAAATTTCTAAACGGCAGACGTTGTCAAATAAATTTAAAATTTGCTAAAAATCACTACCTGTCTTACCTGAGCGCCCGCCGCGTCCACCACTCTGGGCTTAGTGGGACCCCATCTCATGTATGGTAGGTATAGGGGCCTCAATGTACAAAGACCCAGGTCTGGTCAAATACATATAGGTAGCTTTTCACTAGCTCTTAGGCTATTACCCTGGGCGGGCGAAGTCATTGGATGATTTTCCACTGACAAAAAAAAAAGCTTCGGCCTAGACCAGTGAAAGTAATGGAGGATGTGAGGGCTTTAGTCGATAAGCGTCTGACACTACCTCTTGCCCCACCCTGGGTAGGAGAAGCCATTGGATGATTTACCCCTCACAAAAAAGCCTAGTACTATATCATCTACATATTAGTTTCATGCAGAAAGCATTAGCATGTTTCCACGTGAGTCAGGGTGACAGGCTAATTTGATAACAATAATTATATTACTATGTTTGCGACAGACACCCTTCGAATCATCATAGACAGCATTTGTTCATCATATTTCTCTTACTTTATCAGCGATGCTGGTCTCGGCAGTTCCACTGCTAGTTTCACTGTTAGTGGTGTTCATGTCTTCTGCTGAGTCCTTCTCTGGAGGTTCGTAAATTTGTTCCTGTTTATTTGAAACCTGTTCACAAATATATATTTGTGTTAATGTTTTATGCGAATCGTCACGCCTAATTAAAAGTACTGCTCAACACTTCACACATTGCAGTATGATTGCCGATCTTCGTGAATATATCTAACAAATGAATTTCTGTTCGTTAGTCTCGCTGAAACTCGGGAAAAGATGGACCGGTTTGGTTAAGATTGGTCTTCGAATATTCGTGAGTTTTAAGTTTTTTAAGTTTAGGAAAGGTTCAAAAGGTAGGTATATAAATTGCATTGGTAATATTTTTATATATAAATATCGGTTCTTTTGCTTGGCACTTGGCAGTTTGATATATGTATAACCCGAATTACAATAAACAAATTAGAAATGGCTTTTACTAACTAGGTATATTGTTGATGTCAATTTATAATAAACACCTAAAATTTGGCAAATGCACGGTTGGCGTAGTGATTAGGCAACTAGCTCCTGTGCAACATGTCGCGGGCCCAATTACTGCACGGAACAATACTTAGTGTGATCTGCAAATTGGTGTCGAAACAGACCACACAAGCCAGTTTATATGAATTAGTATGTTAGTTAGAAAATCCTAATCCGACATTACGGTTTTCTTGTTAAACTTTATAAAAAAATAACGATAAAATATTAATATAAAGTTGATTACAGCGTCTGGTTCGACAGAGCACACGTGTATCTGTTGGGCTTGTTTGCGTCGTTGCTGTTGAGCCAATTCCTGCTGCTTCTGCAGCTCCTTCTGTTTCCTTTGTTCCTATAATAGCATTAAAAAATAAACATAAATAAAATAAACGACGTTCTAAACACAAATCATCAATCAACCAAGCATGTGCTCTAGGAGCAGGAGAAGGATCTGAGTGGTGGTCAGTCAGTAAGTTTGACACTGCATCTCGCTCCACCCAGAGTGGAAGTGGTCATTAAAACATACGAAAGAACCTCGGTTGTGTATGATTAAAAAAACATACATTAAAAAAAACGATCTCTGTCCCTTTATCTTATGTATGTTAAAATCTTTAAAACTATGCCACGAATTTTGACGTGTTTTTTTTAATACAAAGAGTTATTGATCATTAAAGTTTTTATGTATTACTAGCTACTCTCACGCGGTTTTACCCGCTGCTCGACTCCATTTGATCGTAGCGTGGTGTTTTATAGACTCAGGAACATTGTAGCTACCTATCAGTGAAATAATCGTGGCAATCCGACCACCGGTTCCTAAGATTACCTACATACTAACTTACAAACATACAAACTTAAAAATTTTACCTCTTTATAATATTAGTATCATCGTAATATCAATCAAATCATACAGAAATTTAGTATCAGCATTGTATCCGTGCGAGACCGTGGCGGGTCGCTAATTACCTAAATATATATTTAAAAAAATTAATAGAATATACCTCAAATTGTTTTTGGTGTTTGCAAGCTAGTTCAGGAACTCTCATTCTGGTTTCAGCCAAAACGGGCATCTGTATTGCCATTTCCATCTCCATTGAAGGTGGTGATCTATTGGACTGTGATACCGACTGTTGACCTTCTTGATTTTGCTGAAAAAAGACATTATTAGGTATTGGTTTATGAAGCAACGAAATTAACATAAAGAAACCCTAAAAATTAAAAGGATTTTTTTTTTGTTTATTCCTGTTGAAATTTTGTAAAATCTTATTTTTCGTATTTTTTTTTTAAACTTGTCCCACATTAATATTTTCTTCTGTGTTACATTTACAAACATACAAATTCTCATACACATCACACCCAGACCCGGAACAAAACTCTGTGGATCACACAAAGAGTTGTTCCATGCGTCCGTGCGTGTAGTCAAATACGATCTCAGTGCCGGTGGCTGGAACCACGTGTGACAGAACCTTTAGTTTCCTTGACTATCTTGGCCCCCGAAATTCCTGGATCGGAATCGCGGGTCAAGCGCAATATTGTACCGCAGCTTCGAAAAAGGAACGGCTGGGTTTTTAGTCAGTAAGAGTCTGACCCTCCATCTTTCCATACCCAGGGCAAGAGAAGTCATTGGATGATTTTCCCTTTACAAAAAAGAGATTTATAAATGTATAACTACATCATATCACCAACAGTCCATGGCTATCTACGACTAGACTTAGGGCCTCCTCTTCAGAGAAAATACAATAATACAACAAGCCCAAACGCCAAAAAAAGAAAGTAAAGATACCTAATAACCTGTTTTCTAACCTTTCTACGGTTTTCAAAAAACTCGCTCATGGTCGGAAATGATTTGTCTTTATCACCAGTAAGTCCTTTAAGCGTGGCTGGTAGTGGAAAATCCATTTTGGGTCTTCGCATTTCCATTTTGTCGTTGTCCATGCATCGCATGGTGCCTGATGAAGAATGAATAAAGATGTATAAAATATGTAAATATAGCGTGAAATTGCAGCTGTGTGTTCAGTAGGCGGTTTTAAGGGGAAACTCAGCTAAAATACGTTGTTATTTATGATTGTTATTTCTAAAAATTTTCGTTTTCGTTCCTTCTAAGCCACGAACGGTGTCGTAAATTTTAACAAAACATAAGTATTATTAAAATATTTCTGCGAAATTGCGAAATGCTATTTGGCACTTAAGTATTATTTGTAGTTTACTGAACGATCTTCACAAACAATGTTCCGTGCAGTCGGATGTTTGCGAACCTTGAAGTAGGCTGTCCAATCAATACTATGTATGTATTCATAAGTTTTTTTTCGAAGATGTAACCATTACTTAACCGGCAACTTTCTAGTTTTTGCCGAATTAAAACTTTAAACAATGCCGCACGGCGTGTTTATTTATATTGCTCAATACTGTGGACCTTAACGGCATTGATTACGTGAGTATTATTAAAGAAAGCTTTTTACAATACCCGGTATATTGTCGTCGTTTCTCCTCGGTGGTTGCATCATGGCCATCTGTTGGTACATCTGGTCTTTGGGTACCATAAACTGTTCTAAATACTGCAGGAAGTCCTTGTAGGTCACATGGTTCTGCAAAGTTAATGTCTTTGTGGAATTCTATTTTACTTCTCTCTTCATTCTATTTTTCTGTTTTACTTCGAAGTAGTAGTGTGTAGACAAGAGGTGTTTCAGGTAAAACACATTCGGTTTGTAGGTAAATTACGTGTGTGGACTTACTGTGGAGTGTGGTGGAGTGTTTACTCGGCACAGGTTTTAATACAAACTTTCAAGCCAAAAACTCAGTAACGACGTAAGATATTGTAGTCTAAAAACTTGAATAAGTACAATTTCAAAAAAAAAAAAAAAGAGTATGGAGAATAAGTATTGCTCTATCCGATTAATAAAACGAATTTAAATTGATTTTTTGAAAATGTATTTTAATAAATTTTTGGACTGTGATACACTCCAGTGTTGCGTGTCAAGCGCAATAGGTAGGTAGGATCCCTGCCCTGGCCTAGAGCAGGAGAAGGATCGGGGTGGTTCTTAGTCAGTAAGAGCCTGACGCTTCCTCTCGCCTCATCCTGGGCGAGAGAAGCCTTTTGATGATTTTCCCCCATAAAAAAAAGACTACATTGAATCTATAAGAATATTTTTTGATTTGAAAGTTTGTACAAAAAGACGGGCGTAAATGCTTGTAAGATTTATACTGTTAATGCGTGTCAAGTTGAACATTACATTCTATAACATATTTTTAATCTGGTTATAACTTGAAATCATTTTTAAACCATATCGCTTCACAATTAAGTTGTAAATTATGTGTATAAAGATATCACTGTATACAATTCTTATAACTTAGTACCTTTTCCTCGCCGATCCAGTTTCTCTCAGCTGGTTCCGTCAATCCGAGCACATCGATCCAGTGATAGTAGTTCTTAGAATTGTTGCCATACCAATATTTTATTATTACATATCTGTGTGTCATAAAGCAGATTCGTTAATATAAAGTCGACTGTATAGTGAATGTTAAGTATGAAGATAGATAATCTGGAGATTCTTTGAATATGAGAATGTTAAATTTTTTTTGAACAGCCAATGAGCAGACGGATTTCCTGATTCAATTGGCACTGCGCAAGGACACTCGGCACACCAAAGGATTTACAAGTGCGTTGCAGGCTTTTTGTGACTTGTTAGGCTTTGGGGATTAGGGGAGCGGGGGGGGGGAGATTATCTGTTTTAATCAACCGGATTCAAAAAATCAATTTTGTTATTGTTACCAGTCTTGCTTTTATAGACAAATAAAGCTTATGTATACCTTCAACAAATCTTAGGGTAATTACGGCCAGAGATTTCTCTGTGAAAATTATGGATATTATAATAGGATGAATAAACATTTAATTGATTTTGATTTAATATTATTTTCATCGCTGTGTTTCATTGTAAGTATCTTTGGATGCATGCTTCTGAAGTGGAATCTTGCATAACAAAAATTTGAAGCAGAAATCTTTACCCGAATCAGTTGAAACATTTTATATCCGTGATTTAGGTGTATCTGTGAACTTAATAATAGTCTAGATCTGGCTGCGGGGGTATTCCCAGCTGAGATTTATTTTCGTTTCAATGCGCTGTTTTTCCAACATTTTACGACGGGCACTTAATCATTGAGTCGAATGAAGTATTATTATATTGTAGGTAGATATTGTTGCAAAGAATATAGCAGGTACATGACAACACATAAAAAATTGGACTTTATTGCCACTGTAATAGAATTTCATACTTGCATTGACATTCATACAATCAAGTGTGAGAGGGCCATGCTAAGTGTGAGAGAGCCATGCTAAGTGTGGGAGAGCCATGCTAAGTGTGGGAGAGCCATTCTTCGGCACGAATGGGTCGGCTCGATCGGAGTGATACCGCGGCCTCACAGAAAACCGGCGTGAAACAACCACAGCGTTGTGTTTCGCCGTGTGAGTGAGGTTACCGGAGGCCCAATCCTTCCCCTCCCCCGATCCCTCCCCAATCCCTTAATCTCCAAAACCCTAATCCCTAAGAGGTCGGCAACGCACTCGTTACTTCTCCGTTGCGGGTGTCCATGGGCGACGCTGATTGCTTACCATCAGATAATCCATCTGGTCGACTGCCGATCTATTACATAAAAAAACTTTGTTTTTTCTGGCATAGGTCAGCAAACGTGTAGACTGATTACCTGACGATAAGAGAGTGTGTTGCCGGGCTTTGGAGATTAAGGTTTCGGGAAATTAAGGATAGGGGAATGTTGGGGGAGGGGAAGGATTGGTCCTAAGGTAACCTCACCTCACTCACACTGCGCTACAATACAACGCTGTCGATTTTGCGCCGGTTTTCTGTGAGACCGTGGTATCACTCCGTTCGAGCCGAAGCATGGCTTACCCACATTAAGAAAATGTATCGAATCAAATCATTCCTATGAAAAATATGTTAGTCCAAAGCGACCCCCTATCTATAAACCTATTATTTACTTTCCCTATTTATCTTTGCGTAGAATATAAACCTTCCTAGTACTTCAAATACATATATATGTACATAATCAAGATCGAATTAGCATCAGTTGCTTATGAGTTAAGCACTAAACAGAAAAAAAATATGATTATTTTTATGTTTTTAATTACAGAGTTCCATAACTATACCTACATACGTGCTAATTTTTATTAATGCAAGTTTTGCATACCAGCATGGATCATGTTACTGCGAGGACTAATACTTAGGTCAGAAGATTTTTGTATGTTGTTTTACTTAATAATATAATTACTTATTTAAAAAGATAGCAATGACTATGTAACATAATAGGTACTTTTGGGCTAGTTGTAACAGGAGACTGGTAGGTAATGTATCAGTCTATTCTAAGACCTAGGTATTTCATATAGCCAAGGTCACAATACGCATATCATGTGTATAAAAATAAAAATAAAGAACCTATATACATTTTGGTAGTCCATTTTTATTGTCGCATGGCGGCATCAAATTAGATAACTCTTTTTTGAAGTGACAGATAAACATTAGAAAGAGGTTTGTAAATAAGGTAAATTCGATACAAAATTACACAAGCGAAATCGGGAAGGGCCGCAAATAACTGACAATATGCTTGCAAAGAGGTTACTCCTTGAAATGCATCACGATTAAAAAAATCTAAACTACCCAAATGTAGGTAAGTGTGTAAGAGGAGTCATGGTGCTTCGGCACTAATGTGCTAGCTCGACCGGAGTGATATCACGGCCTTACAGAAAACCGGTGTATTTTGCCACATGTGTGAGGTTAGAATAAGCCCAATTCTTCAGATCAAGTCCCATTTCAAAATGCCCAATTCTAGAATTCTTAACAACTTCCAAAACGTCAGCACCATACTTGAAACTCATCCGATCTTAGCAACATACATATCAATATCACGTCTTTTCTACACATGGCTATCGCAAGAGTTAACTATGTGTGCGACTATATTTGTCAAATACCGGTGAGTGGGGTTCTGAAAGAAACCCTGAACATTCAAAGCTACCTGCCAACCCTGGAGATTGGGTCATTGGGTCCTCTTGCGCAGTTAAGTGTGACCGCTATGTTGTTTTGAATTAATTATAAATCAGTAAGTAGAATGGAAGGTACCAAAACTTGGAGGTTGAGGGTGCAAGTACTACGGCCAGGTTCATAGAAGGAGAAGTAACGCCAGCCACGAAAGTAAAGTTTTTTAAAAAAAAAACGTTGCCCCACACTAGGATTTTCTCCTGTGTCGTGGGTACGGTAACAAACATACAATTACACATGCACATGCACATGCACATAACACCCAGACCCAGTACAACAATTTGTAAGTCACACAAAGAATTATTCCGTGCGGGAATCGAACCCGCGACACGTTGCAAGGCAGCCAGTTACCCAGCCACCGCACCAACCGTGCAGTCAAATTGGATGATCATCAAACCATAAAAAAGTGATTGGATGATCATCATATTTATATGTGAGGATATATGTCAGGGCTTGTCAATAGCAATTTAATAATCTAGTTTAAGTTATAATATTTAAGTACTATAAGTTAAGCCTTAAGTAAGAATAAAAAAAAATCAAACCATAAAAAGTGTTCAAAATATGTACATAAATGGTGTTAGAAATATAGCACTTAATAAAATCACAAGGTCTCATAGGTTGTAAGAAATATCATTAATGTTTTTCATTAATTTTGGCTGAACAACTATTACAGTAGGTACTTAATTAGTATAAATACAAGGAGACTAGGAAAACAAACGGGTAAATTACTAGGAGCACCGTAATTTACCTGTAATTGTTGTATCATTTCAAAGAATACTATAATCGCTAAAAATAATTCTGTTATTTATAGGGAAATATTTACTAAATACTATGGTTTAGTTATAATTTATTAATAAATACTAAGGAATATTTTGTTTGTGCATATATGTAGGTATGTATAAATATTATGTAATGTTTCCTCATGCGATTGCATATGAAAAAGATGTACAAGTAAAAATAACTAACGGTTTTTTTTTGTTATATATCGACAAACTAGAAAACAGATCACTTAACGGCGCTGCCCATGGACACTGCCATCTCGGAGGAGTTACAACCAGCTTTTGGCGATGAGGGATTTGAAGATTGCGAGATTTAGGATTGGGAGAATAGGAGGAAAGGAATGGACCCTCTTGCATATTAAATAACTAGACTGAAGTTTATTTTTCAAAAAAACACTAAATCCATTTCCACCTGTCTATTCTATAAGATTTTGAGGAATACTAACGCAAGTCCGTCGTCAACCATCTGCTGAACTTCAGGCTCGTTAACAATTTCCAGTATTTCAGCATTGTCAGGGTTCCTCTTTATGTCGACGAGCTGCCACGGGGAGATGAGCCCAAATCGGACGCAGCGCATCACGTCCACCGCGTACTGCCTGCGAGCTGACCAGTCACCGTACAACCACCGGACGCCAGCCATCAGGACCTCAATCTCGCTAAAACACATTTTCTTTATTAATTGGAATGAACGAGGGGATTACTTTCTTTTGAAGCCCGAACCGCAAGGCGAGGGTCTTAAGGAGCCGAAGTCAGTAATCATCAATACACACGTGTATCATACGATGTTTTTGAACACACTTCTGAATAAAATAACACTTACCTAAATAAAAAACTGCAAAAACGAAAACGAGACGAGTTGTGAATAATGTTTCGTAATGGCGGGAAAAAATTATAAGTTCTATGCGCGCGCATCGGCCGTAGACTAAAAGGTGAGGTTTCTTTTTTTTTTGGGCTTTTCGCGTTGAGCATTTTTGCACTAGCGTAAGTGTAACTTAACCAAAAACCTTAAAAAACTTTATTACTCACTCGTGGATGATGTCACTATGTCCCTTATTGCCATGGGATTAGAGCCACTTTGTTTTGAAAATTACTTTTCATAATGACACCTTTAATCAAACTGTGACTTTTTAATTTCAATTAAATTATTAACTAGTGAGTAATAGAGTTCTTTTTTTAAATATTGGTTCAGTTAATCTAACACTTGCGCTAAAATGATATCCGCGAAAAGCTCAAAAAGAGATTTTCTTAGTCAATGGCCGATGCGCGCGCATAGGATACTGTTTATTTTTTCCCGCCATTACCATTTTTCTCAACTCTCGATTTTCTTTTGAAGTTATATTATTTAACAATTATTTTTTCGGAAGTGTGTTTAAAACGTCGTATGCTACACGTGCGTATTGATGATTACCGTCCTCGGCTCCTTAAGACCATCGTTTGAGGGCTCGGGCTTTATTGCGCCTACTTTACCAACTTTACACTCGTGTACCATAATGTATAGTCATTTATTTATTAAAATTTCATGCACAATGGGTACACAGGCAGACTTAATGATCTAGGCATTTCCTATCAGTGAAGCCTTGGGTGACACAGAAATGAGCGAATGGTTGGTGCAAGGAGCAAGCAAACTTTTTACAAACAGCATTTCATAACGCTTATGTTTTTAATGAAACTACATGTTGAAGTTGTTAGAAGTCAGCGCGGAACGTATACGCATTGATGTGGTCCGTCCGTCTACCACTACATGTGATTTCGTTCAATATTGTAATAGGTATACGGTTCAATATCAGACTGAATTTTAAAATGTTTCACAAAACAAAACTTTCACTCTTACGAAAGTAAAAGTTGCTCTCTCTTAACTTTCGTCAGGATATAAAAATAAAATGTAGCACGGATTGACAATACATGTGCAGTAAAAATAAGGCCTCAAAATAAAACTGGTTTAGTTAGTTAAAGATCACATTTCGTGATAATACAAGCAATTATAATACGTTTGTTATGCTCGGTTTCCGGGTGTCAGTATTGTTTTTATTAAAATCAAGTGGCCTATATGTATAGTTTTACAGACAGAATAAAAATTGTGGCTCACTGAATAAAAGATTTGTTTAGTGCGGTTTTTGAAGGTGTAAAGCGTTGTGCAGTAACTGCAATTATGCAGTCATCATCCGTTCAATTCTAAGCAATGATATAAATTATATCTTTGAAGGGCATTATATTAAGTTTGTCTAGTTATTTGGTTCTAATCAAAATTTATCTTGTCTTTTATCTTTTATCTTTTATCTTTTATCTTTTATCTTTTATCTTTTATCTTTTATCTTTTATCTTTTATCTTTTATCTTTTATCTTTTATCTTTTATCTTTTATCTTTTATCTTTTATCTTTTATCTTTTATCTTTTATCTTTTATCTTTTATCTTTTATCTTTTATCTTTTATCTTTTATCTTTTATCTTTTATCTTTTATCTTTTATCTTTTATCTTTTATCTTTTATCTTTTATCTTTTATCTTTTATCTTTTATCTTTTATCTTTTATCTTTTATCTTTTATCTTTTATCTTTTATCTTTTATCTTTTATCTTTTATCTTTTATCTTTTATCTTTTATCTTTTATCTTTTATCTTTTATCTTTTATCTTTTATCTTTTATCTTTTATCTTTTATCTTTTATCTTTTATCTTTTATCTTTTATCTTTTAATAGTTGTAATTATTTTTTTAACAATACATTTAAGGTTTGTGTGGAATTAATAATAAAGCATCTGTATAGATTTCGTACGTAGTTTAAAACTTTTAAGTGGTTTTTAACAGTCCTCCGTAAGGAGCAGGTTTCTTAATTTGACTGTATACATGTATGCTTTTTTTAAGTGAAAAGAAACCGGCTAACTGCTGCATAATTCATATGTGAAAACTAGTTAATCTGTTTCCCAGATTTACAAAATAGTGTAAGTAAAATAAAATTACCATTAAAACGTATGAGTACTTATTTTAAATTTGCATTTAAAAAAATGCAGTATGTGCTGTCCTTTTTGCCGGACGCTGAAGCGAACATGCAGAAAGAAGGTAAAAAAGAAAAAAAAATATTCAACTTTTGTTGGTCTAATAATGACTTTGTGTGAGTTTTTCTATTATATTCTTGATTTTACGACTTAGTATATTTTTAGTATTTTTTTATTGGAAAATACAAAAGAATTGCATATTAGATATGCGAATGGTTTCAATATCACTTGTGCGTTGACAGGCGTGACGGTAGGCGAGACGATAAGCTATCCAAAGAATCTAAACCTATGATGTGCATATAATTTAACTACCTAAATAATACTTTATCAAATACACAAATTATATAGTGACTACGTAACACCATATAATCGACTGATGCGAAAACTGATGCGATACGATGGCATCTACAAAACTTATAGCCCTATGATATTATAATCTTTTTGTTCAGGTTCCTGTGAGCAGAATCAAAACAAACACTAAAAAACTTACCTTGTCACAGAAATATAATTTGACTTCAGAAATATCATGAGCTCTTCAGGGTCCAAATCTATAAAATCTCTTGATGCAACTAGAGGTAAGAAGAATCTCATCACACGTGGTACCTACAAATGAGCTTACGTAAGAATGTGTTAAAATCATTTCGTATCAAAGTTTTTTCTAATATGATCATAGTATTACGGTCTTTCAGAAGGCTTTCAAGAGACCAGAATCGTCTAGCAAAGAGTTTAATTAGTCAGATTTTTTCTAAACTAGCTTCCGCCCGCGGTTTCGCCCACGTTTTGGATAAAAAGCCTGTAATAACACAATCCAGGGCATTACCTATCTTTGTACCAAATTTCTTTTAAACCGGTTCATCCGTTTTTGCGTGTAAAAATGTGTGTGTTACACACAAAAGTTTGTGAGAATATATGACTTTACATATAACTATTGGACATATAAATTAATAGGATGAAATGGCACATATAAACACTTAAAATTTAAAATTTTTGTTGCTTACGTTAATAGTGATTATCGTATTTACCATTAAGTCCATGACTGGCTTCATACCCTTTTTCCTAGCTTCTCTGAATAGTGCAAACGCTGTGTCTTCAGAAAAGAGACTTTCATTCACGATGAAAGACCAACATTGGTCTTCTAGGTCTGTAGAGGCATTTGAAGATTAGCAGTAACTGTCTATATATGAGGTCGTTTATTCAATAAGTAATAAATTAATTAATACCTTTGATAGCAAGATACTGTGCAGCATAAAACAGATCTAGTATGTTGTCTCTCTTTAGCATTTTATTACTTTCAACACCGTTAAATATCATCCATTCGTAAATTGTTTGAAAAGCTTCTGGTGTTACACTTGCCTGAAAATTTTATGGACTTTTATAAATTTATAATTTTTCTTTTTTATGTGTATTTCTACAGTATTTGGTATAGGCCTACTCATATATTATATATCAATTGATTTATATTTATAAATACACCATAATAGACTTACTGACTATAAGGGTTTTGCATGTGTGAAGCGTATTTTTCCGAAATCCTATTTTTGTTTTGTTCAAAATATTTATAATCAGGGTAGATATATCGTTCTTTAGAGAACGAAAATAAAATATAAATAAAATGTTTGGCCTACACTACAGTTTTCGCCTGTGTCGTGGACGAGTTTGCAAACTTTCTCGTCTCACTCAGACCCGGAACAACAATTTGTGTATCACACAAAGATTTTCCGTGCGAGAATCGAACCCGCAACATGTTACATGGCAGCCGATTATCCAGCCACCACATCAACCGTGCAGTCTATGATAACAAAACAAAACTAGTTTTTCCTTACAACAGGCAGTTCAATTTCTCTATGCGGGTTCATATCGAAAAATGATGAGTACACTTGCAACACGATGTAATGGCAGTGGAACTCCTCGTCGCCTATATGTATCACCGTATCTGTGTTTCTGCAAATAAAATATAAAGTATCAGCAAATTAAGAGTAAGAGAGCCATGCTTCGGCAGCAAATTAAGTTTCAACAAATGAGTGTAAGAGAGCCATACTACACAGCCACGAATGGGTAGGCTACACTGGAGTATTACCCCGGCCTAACAGAACACCAGTGTGAAGCAAGACTTATGTTGTGTTTCGCCGTGAGAGTGCCCAATTCTTCCCCCTCCTCCCATCCTTAATCTTCAAATCCCTTATCCTCAAATCTCTAATAAACCACAAGAGGCTGGCAATGCACTCGTACTTCTTTGGAGGGGTGTCTATGGACGGTGACGATTGTTTACCATCACATGTTAAGTGTGGGAGAGCCAAGCTTCGGCACGAATGGGTCGGCTCGACCGGAGTGATACCACGGCCTCACAGAAAACCGACGTGAAACAACCAACAGCGTTGTGTTTCGCCGTGTGAGTGACGTTACCGTACCGTAACCGTGAGGTTACCGTAGTGAGGGTACCGAGGCCCAATCCTCCCCCCCCCCTCGGTCCCTCCTAATCCCTAAATCTCCAAAACCCTAATTCCTAAAAGGTCGGCAACGCACTCGTAACTCCTCCGTTGCGGGTGTCCATGGGCGGCGCTGATTACTTATCAACAAGTAATCCGTCTGCTCGGTTGCCGACCTATTCCATAAACAAAATGTTCGATTGCCGACCTATGGCTTAAAAAATGACAATATTGCTAAGGCGGTTTAATACAAGCCAGCTACGCAGTAGACTATTAGATCAATACATGATTTGCAATATTTAGACATACATAGAACATTATCTGATAAGATATTTTTTCTCAACAAGCCATTGTTGAATGGTGCTGTTTATTGTAGTCAACATGGTTTTGTCTGATAACCTATTTGGTATAGCTGATTGTCATTCTTCTTTGTTTCTATAATATGTATTTTTGATGTCATTGAAATAAGGAATTTTAATTCATCAACCCCCAAGCAAACACTGGCTTTCGCGCTTCTATTGTTTGCTTCTGCTGTATCTCGAATTACTACGATTGAAAGGTTCAAAATAATTACATGTAATTGTTGATTCTGCGAAAAAACTCTTGAAACAGATCCTGTTTCTTCGGTAGCTGTACTCGCATCCAGTCTATAGGCTCTCCAATGGTGTATCCGAGGCTGCCGAGGTCCTTCCCTTTGTCTTCTCTAACATCTGGTGGTAACTTCATTTTTCCATTTCGATCATTCGGAACTGTGGGCTTTGTTTGTATATTTGCATTGAGTGTCTCTCTAGGTCCGAATTGGAGTTGTGGTTCTGAATCCTCTTCTTGTTCCTATGTTCAAAAATAATAAAATTGTAAAAATAATTTAATTATTTGTTATGGTTTACCTACCACTGTGGCTATTTCCATGTAATATTCTTTTTGAGAATATTTAGACACTACTTGTATTCGGACGTCATGAGGAAACCTAGACTTCCAATTTTATACGAGTATATATTTGCAGTCTCAAAAGGCAATACTTACAAAGTTTTGTGAGATTTCATCATCAGGTTCTCCTCCAGCTTTCCCTTCGATTTTTACTTTTACTTTAGCTTGCGTAGGGTCTGCTAAGAGCACGCCTACCGTGGACGATTGGAATACAACCTTAAAGCCCAAAAACAAAATAATTATCAACATCGCTGGGTAAGGAATATTCCACCAAAAGTAACCAGTAATTAGTTATATTACTTGATTGGATTGAACTTTCAAGTTGCCGCTTGGAGTAGACTTAAATGGAAATGCAGCTCCCTTCTGCATCGCCACATGGTCTATGCTATCAACACTGAAATTTAAAAAAGAAGTTTCATATTATTTATTTAACAAATTACTAGCTACTACCGCGCGGTTTCACTCGTCGCCCGGCTCCATTTCAATGTAGCGTGATGTTTTTTAGCCTAAAAGCACTCAGGAACATTGTAGCTATCTATCAATTTTGGGAATCCGACCAGCGGTTCCAAAGATTACCCCCTACATACAAACTTACAATATTTACCTCTTTATAATATTAGTATTAATAAATATATTAAATATTTCCATCAAATATTTTTGACTTTGAGGAAAACATCGTGATAAGTTTGGTTTCGCCAATCAACCTTGAGCAAGCCTGGCGATTCATGCTCAAACCATCTTCGCATGAGAAGAGGCCTTTGCTCAACAGTGGGCTCTTACAGGCTGATGATGTGAAACGTACGTAGATCTTTCAGTGAACGTATCCCACCTGGAGTTATCCGCACATGACGAAGCATTAGGATCGACATCTTCTTCCTGGAAACTGTTTATGTAATCCACGGCAAACTTGGTCGCGTAAGACTCGGGTGACATTTCTAGTTTTTTCTTCGGCCTTCTGATAAAGTTTGAGAAGTGTTAAAGATGAATTAGCACAAGTTTTAGGTAATGTATTCTAAATGGCTTGAAGCTAAAGAAGATTCAAATTGTCTTTAGCCTGAAGGCATTGTTTCATTTGAGTATGTGACAATGCAATATCAAAAGTAATTATCTCAAGCTCTCAGTGTAAGAACCCAGGCCGCCAGCTTAACGCGAGAGAGTCATGCTTCAGTACGAAAGGCTCGTCTCGACCGGCACTTGCGTCGTGTTTCGCCTTATGAGTGGGATTACCGAACGCTCGATCCTTCCTACATCCCTATCCTCAATGCTCCAATCCCCAATCCTCAAATCTGTTACAATCCTTAAAAGTTCCTTTTAGTGCTGCTGTGTCGATGATGGTGCCGATTGCTCGTCATCAGGTGATTCGTCTGCCTTCTTGTCTACTTTTTACCTTACCAACAAAAAACAAATTTGATCTACTTACTTTCCTTTAAAGTTCCACGACATTAATGTGTCGGTATGGTGACTGCAAATGTTTACGTTAGTATCGCCACAGCTATTAAAATATGATTCCGTGCGTTTCTTTCCAGCTTCAACCCTACTCTTGAAATAATCAAGTGCTGCAAATTTTATTCACAACTTATTATACGTTGTTCAGAAAGATCGAATAGCTTCACTGAATAACTGAATATATAACATTGAGGCACGATTTAATGAAACTAATCTATATTTTTATTATTACTTTCGTGAGACATTCTAAATTAATTATTATGTTTTCGGCTTACTCACGTAATAATTTGACGAGATACTCAGTCGCCGCGTCGCGTGTCGCGTAATGCTGTTCATGAATATGGGCCTAGCATGGCTTGAAACTAGTCGAGTATCTCGTCAAACTATTACGTGAGTAATCCAAAAACATAATAATTGAAACTAATCTAAATCAAAATTTTATATGAATTGGAACTGTAATATAAGAAGCATATTTGTTGCCTTTAAAAAAATCAAAACTCAAAAGAAATCAATACTAACGAATGGGTCACTCACTGAAATCACTTGAATTCGTGGTCAGTTCTGACAAGGAGCTACTTCTGAATAGTTTTGGCTTAATAGTTATACAATATTGTTCAAAAATGCTCCCTGGCGGCTTGAACCTTCTTCGTTGGGGTATTACAACGCTGTAGATGAATTAAGATGGGTATAAGGGTTTAATTCATCAAACATCAAGCGAACACCGGCGTTCGCGCACCTATCGTTCTTTTATTGTGTCTCGAGTTACCACGATAGAAAGGTTGTGTGTAATGATGGTATTATAACCTAATTGCTTACTGATATAAAATGAATACTGAAAAAACTGTTGTTCTAATTGGGTTTATATACAAACATTATAAAGTCCAGAATTAGCCTTTTCAATATCTGTACAACGACAGAGAGGCCAGCTGTTTGGATTTTGACCACTTCAGAATATTTATTTATTTATACTTCATGCACAATTTGTATGTACATAAGGCGGACTTAATGCATTGAGCATTCTCCACCAGTCGACCTTTGGGTGATGCAGAATATCTCCTTCTTTCGTAATATATTATCTATTTAAACGAGCTATCTTTTTTTATATGTTAACAGTAAGTATCTCGGAATCAGCTCGATGATTCTAAAATACTGTTAAGACATATAAATCAATCTAGGTAGGTTTCGTTTCCAGATGATAAATAAATAAAAATAATCCGGGGATCGGTCGCCCGAGTACTAAATCTAACTAGACTAACCCTTTTCTCGTTCTAGTAGAAAGTACACATGTCCAAACTATAATTACTAGCTATTTGATTTTCCTTATACGACTTATGACATCAGTTGCATACAAACTCAAGGTTTCTTGTCATTGTAAAGTACAGCAAATGATAAGGAAAATCGCTATTAAATTGTGTACTTTATACGAATACCGGTTTAATTATTATAGCCATTAATTTAACGTAGACAAATTATTCAAAGAACAATAGGTACTTACTCTGGTGAATTATGTCTAAGAGCAGTATTTCTGGCATTTGACACCACCTCTGTATCATTTATCTGCAGCGAAGCAAACGTTGAACACTTGACTCAAAATTATTCAGAAAAAAGCAATCAAGATGGTAGGACAAAAGTTCGTCTGTTTCACATTAATTTTACTGATCATCGGTGTAAGTGTTTATTTGATTATTCTACTTACTTTCTCTAAACTAATACTTCTTTGCATTTCAAATATACTAAACGAGTAATACAGGAACATGAACCATATTGTAGCTACTAATGTTTTTAAGTTTATTATAAATTCCCAAGACTCCTTTAAAATTTTTGACAGTTGATGTTCATGTCGTTTTAGAAGTCTTGTCAAGCTTGAATATATTCCAAACATTTACATGACAACGCGGAGTGTCAACTCAATATTCGCACTCACCAGCGTATTGATACTCCGTGCGTACTTCACGGGCACCGTGAAGTTTCACATTCAAACTATCTTGCCGACATTAAGCTGCTTCCAAACAAATTATGTTACGAGTACATTAGCTTACACCCGCGGCTTTGCACGTATAACAATAATGCGGGATTTTAAAAACAGCGTTTAAAGCGATTGTTCGACGAAAATGGGCAAATTAAGTATAATTCAAATCAATCACTGGAGCATTGTAGCTATTTATCAGTGTATTTTGATCCATGGATTACCTTACCTACATCCCAACTTACAAATTTTACCCCTTTATAATATTTTGTATTGATAGATTTCAATACGTTGCTTGTAAACTCCGAATAAATGTTGCTTGGCAACATTTACTCGGACATTTTTGTATTATAGTCACACTGACGACCTTCGCACGGGAGCAATGCTGATACTAAATTTCTTTTCGACTCTAAATGATCCACACCATTCCTTCTTCCCTTGTGCTTGCAACCCTGGTTGGACAGCCGTAGCAGGCTCCACGAGGCGCGGTTGAAAAACGCGACGTAACGCGCGTGGTGGAAATTGTATCATTGCAGGGTTATTTAAGTATTTAAGTAGTTATATGCTATATCATAAAAATAATGGTAATCTAATATTTTTGGCGGGTTTTAGTGCCTAACTGGATACAACGATATAGCACAGTAACTGTGCAAAATTGTTACGATAAGATGATAAGATATCACAATACGATTGTGCCAAAATGACTAACTGGAATATGAATCCGTTTAGACTGATCCTTTCAAAATAATGAATCCCTTGTTTTCACAATGGAACGAGCTTGAATAAAGGATCAAGGGCGTAAGACGACCACTTACAAGGTGGACGGACGGCCTTATAAGGGTCGAAAATAGCCGTTTGATCTAGGTTGCTTGCAATCGGCCGATCTGAAAGTCAAAGACGAAGGAATGATTTTCAGCTGTAGACGAAACGTCGCAGATGTGATGGGGATTAAATTATGTGTCAATTACGGTGTTTATTGTCTTTTAAAAATGTATTTATTTTCTAATCCTCACGCCATGCAATGTTTCAGAGCTGTACCAATGGATTGCCATCTCCTTCATCGAGCACAACACTTGGGCCTCTGATAGCATCAAATCCAAGGGGTAAACGTGCAGTTGATACAGTGGCGCCTCCTGCGGATAAGAACGATACTATATTGTGCGCACCGGCTACGGCAGTAGGAAAACCTGCTCATTAGAATCTGGAATAATTTCCTTGACGATGTTTCAATACTAAGCAGAAAAATAAGGAAAAATGGCTTTTTGAATTTTACTTTCTTTTTAACTTCTTCTTGTACTCTCTTAACTTTTAAACATTTTATCTTTCGAATTTTTCGATTAGCGGATTCCCCCGAAAAGTGCTTACGTCTTTAGATACAGTTTTATTGTTTCATATTATATATATATGTATGTTATATTGTTTATTGTTATCAACAAAGTACCTAATTCAATTACCTATATGTTCTCCTTTCTATAAATTTTATTGTGGAAAATACGCGAATTGATAAATAAATATATTGCAACTTTTATTACCTATCAGTTTTATTTAACTTTATGATTTAATATTATATCGACACTGCATTTAAAATTTCAACTTAATTGTAAAATTAATTTATAAATCACCTTAAATTTTTTGCACGTAATTTTACACGTTTGCCTGGGCTATAAAAGAGCCTCTGCGTTTGTTCTCAATTTTAATTCATAACGTTATAATGTTGATATTATTTGTAAAAGTGCTGTATTCTAGAATTTTTACAAAAATAAATTCACTATTTCATTCTTCATTAGGTTTAGTAGAGTGTAAGACTTTAACTGACTAAAAACACCCTCGTTTTCTTACTGGCTGTGTTGGGTCCTCGTTTTCACCGGCAAAAAGGACTAAAGTCGTTTAAGCAGAAGCATGGGAAAATGCGCCTTATTATTAACCATATTCACTTGTCCACGAAACCTACGAAAGCTTAGAGTCAATATACATATCATCATAGCCTTGGACTTAAGGGATTGATTTGCCTGCCAAAGCATTTGGCTCACTAGTTCCAATTTTTAGCTAACCAAGTCATAGTCAAACTTAGTCAACCAATTATTCATTTGCAGAATCCGATCCTCAAAGGTAAAGTTTCAAATCATCTGCTTAGAGGTGGAAATTATTTTCTATGTGTGTAGGTTCGGAAATAACTGTATATATAACTGTATTAAATGTAATACTGCTGAGCAAAAGCCTCTTCTCACGCGGAGAGTGGAGAACGTTTGAACATTAATTACCACGCTTGCTCAAAGCGAATTAGCGATTTCAAAATTACAGATTATATGTCCAGGTTTCCGTTTCAGTGGTGTCTAAACAATCATAGAAGGTAAATGTACCTCGGAAAAAATACATTGGTACTTACTATGAGTTTCAAATTCGGACCAAAAGTATATAATTTACGGGATATAGCTACTGACTCAATCCACACCCCTGTATACCAAAACTACATGCGGTACCTATAGAAATACCTAATAAACAGGATATCTGCAATAACCACACCCTCGTAGATATTAGTTTGCAAAATATAACAATTATCACTGTCCAAACCGTTTGCAGACATGAAAACAGATAATTCGTCGAATTCGCTACGTTATCGGAATTGTAATCGGAATCGGTACAGACTCTTCACTGTTTGCAACAGTATTTTTTGACATTGAGTATTCGATAGTGAACAGTTTATGGCTAGCTATAAATATGGATCGACTTTTATGTTCGACGCCGAATACTGTCACCTATGATGATAAGAATATATAATTTTATTTTCAAAATATGAAACACTTACATCATCTTGCATGGTGGCAAACGAGCCCAAGGATAGATTCTTCCTTCCCATGGACACGTTTGACATTAGAGGAGTTAGGAGTACATGCCCCCCGGCTTTTTGCCGTTAGGAATTTAAGGATTGGGGATTTTGGATATGGGAATAGGGGGATAGTCATCGGGCCTCCGGTAATGTCAGTCACATGGCAAACCCATAACACAGAAGTGAAGCCATGATGTCCTGTAATTTTCAGCCTGTTTGTGCCGCTGCGTGGCTCTCCTTTTGGTCTATTGTACATTCCTTATTAAATACAAAACGGTTAAAAATGTCCGTTGCTAACACTATTGAAGAATTAATCATTAAATATTCGTCATCTAGTGGTGCCATTCATAATCATGCTAACTTATGCATTGGAACTGATCGGATTAAGTCCGTCAAGGCCTATTTCCATCCGAGGTGCTTAAGTGGAGAAATTATTTAGTCCCTGATAATTTGTCATTTTTTTCAATATACTACTATACCGTACTGTATAGATACTTTTTCCAAGCTTTTCCTCCTCAGACCTAACCCCAAATCACTAAGCGTCAAATCCCTAATTCCCAAATCTTGCATGGTACTTGTTATTCCTCTGGCGTTGTGGTAAGCGATGCCGCCGATTCTTACTGGCGACATCTATGGCCGTTTTATCATATAAAACAAAAAATAAGCGACCCTGTGTTTTGATGAATCATGCGACGAAAATTGCCTACTGATAATATCCACACCAGACTTGATTAAAGTTGCTTGCCGGCTGACTGCACGCACAGTCCTATCTTGTACCAAGGTGTGAGCGTGCAAGGTTCAATTTACCCTTGGATTTCTATACTTATTTATATTACTGTGAGTATTAGCGACTGCTTATCAGCTTATTTTTAGTGAATTGTTCATAAAGTGAATTGAAACAAGAAATATTTCAAAGAATGAAACTTTAAGCTGTGAATAATGCGGGGTCGCGGGATAAGCGCGTTCGGGCACCGTGGCCTCGGCCTAGACCAAGAGAAGGAACGGGGGTTTTTAGTCATTAAGAGTCTGACACTCCCTCTCATAATATTTTCCTTTATTACAATATTAAGTACTTTAGTGACAACTCAAAAGTTATTAAATCTCCGAGGTAACAAGTTTAGAGAATTATAATTCTTCTGGCAAAACAATTCGTTGGTAAAAGTTTACAGTTAAGGAATCAGTTAAAGGAAATAGAGTATGAACTTAAGCTATTAGGCATTCAACCAGTTAAGTATCGTTGAAGATTGGCTTGCTTTCGAAATGCAAGATATTTTGGTGCACATTTTTTTACCTGACATTTCTATTATTATGGCATGTTCTGGCAAAGTAGCAGATGGATGGTAAGCTGTCGGTGCCGTCTTATACCACCAAGAGGTCCAATTCTCCCCCTTCCCCGATCCCTCCCTAATCCCGAAATTTCTGAAACCTAAATCCACAAAAAAACCGCCAACGCATTCTTAACTCTTCCGTCGTTGCGCATGTTCATGGGCGGCGCTGATTGCTTACCATCAGGTAATCCTTTTGCTCGACTGCCTGCACACAAAAACGGAGAAACACAAGCGTTGGTTAAGGCTGGTTTTCAAATACGAGTTTTTACACTGGTAAAAAGAGAACATTTGCACAGTGAAATGTTCTTGTTTTAATTCGTAGTTTGTTTAGTGCAATAACTTATCTCTTGCTGTCTAACAAGTTTTGGGTTTTAACCACAATCTTTATTAGATATCTCCCTCATTATCTGATAAAAGTGCGTGCACTAGTTAATAGCAATGTGATATATTACACACGTAGTTAATCCTGTTCCGATACAATTATATAGTGTAAGAAAACAAATAGTGTAACTTTATCAGCCTTTATATTTTTTTTTTTGAAAATTAAATGTTACTTTCTTATTATAGAATGGCTAATTCTGGCCGTGTCGTGTACCCCAAGGAGGTCGCTGAAGCTACAAAGCAAGATGTTTCTGCAGCAAAAGCTGAAGATAAGTCCTCAGGTGGAGAAGAAGTTGTAGTAGTGAAACGAGAATCCCCC